ATGGTAAGGTAAAAAATTTGTGAAACCTAACCAAAGAAAGTTAGAACTAATTAACTGGATCACTCAATCTGGACACCTGAAGAATAAGCCATAACGCGTATCCAAGAAAATACTACCTATGTGTTTATAATTTGTATTTGAAATAATTGTGAAAAATTTGTGAAAGCTGCTAAACAAATTTTCGATTCATTTCAAAGCCACGTTTAAGATTTAGAACGGTTTATATGGATCACTCAGAATGCACTATGTTCATTTGAGTGATCTTTTAAAACACTAACTTATACTGAAAAAGTATGAAACATTATCATGTTTGTTATAAATTATGCTTCTGGGAAAATTTGTGAAACAAAGATCGGGATTGAAATCTTACTGGTTTAAAAGAAAATGAAAATCTTGTTTTTCCTCGATCGTCCCAACTGAGTGATCCTTATCTTGAACTATATTTAATAAACCCAAACTTATAGGTAGAAGTTAGTTACATCAGAAATTGTGAAAAATGTTGTACTAAAATTTGACGAACCAATCGTCCCAGTAAGTGTTATATTTTAAAAGATAACTCATTTTTTACAATCCTTAAGGAAAACGTTGAGTAGGGTGACCATATAGGTTTACTTGAGTACCGAGAGTTGTGTAAGTTTTGTTTTTAGAAGTTTTAAAGATGTTTTTATAGTGTTTTCACTACTTAATACATAATTTCAACATAAAATGGCGTTTTTAAGTGACAAAATTTCAGCAAAGTTAGGTATTGTCACACTGTATTAGGTTTATCATACTAAGGAATTCTACACACAAAAAAAAGATCAGAATTTTTTAAGTAACCAAAGAAATTACCTTTTTGTTATTCTAAGTTTTTTTCTAACATTCATAGTCTACTAAAATGTTACCTAATCGATAAATCCGTAGGACAAAGTATGTAATATAACTGGTTCTTCTTCTTTGCTGTTATACATTTTTCCCATCAAATCATCATAACAGACTATTTTTTCGTTATGGACACCATGTCCTTTGTAGTGGCCAATATTATCGGGACTTCATTCATTGCACTGCCACCGTCATACCCCATTGTGGCACAGCGATGCCTAATATCAAAGTACCTGCTCGATGCTTTGGATAGGTTACAGCGGCGCGCGATCCGCATCATAGGCGATGAGGAGGTGACTAAACACCTTGAGCCTCTTCAAGTACGCCGTGACGTGGCGTCACTAAGCGCGTTCTATCGTCTGTGTGGTACAGACAAGTGTTCTAAGGAGTTATTCTCTCTCATTCCACCTTCCCCTTTCCTTCAGAGGACCACGCGCAGTAGTAGGCCAACTTTGCCACCGCCTAACTGTGGCCACAATTCCAACGCGTACAAAGAAATTTGGTGACATTTCTTTGTCGCGCTATCCGTAAATGAGATGCTCTGCCCGCTCACGTGTTCCCTCCCTCTTACAACCTGGGATCCTTTAAAAGAGGCGTGAAGAAGCAACTCGCAGGCCGGCAGGGTGAAGATAGCTGGAGTGGCAGGTAAAACTGCTGTATCTGCTATCTTCGCGTCTGGACTTTACCTTCACTTAACATCAGGTGGGATGGAGTCATTTGTCGGTCCTATCTATATAAATAAAAAAACTATAAACAAACTTCATTGCATTAGATGCACTGCACAACGCCGCCAGCTTCGCGAATTGCAATGAATATACACAATGTTAGCATTGAATAGGTTAGTCGAAAAAAAATCCGGCAAAATAAAAAAGTTCAAGTACCCCACCCAACGTTTTCCTTAAGGATTGTAAAAAATGAGTTATCTTTTAAAATATAACACTTACTGGGACGATTGATTGGTTCGTCAAATTTTAGTACAACATTTTTCACAATTTCTGATGTAACTACCTTCTACCTATAAGTTTGGGTTTATTAAATATAGTTCAAGATAAGGATCACTCAGTTGGGACGATCGAGGAAAAACAAGATTTTCATTTTCTCTTAAACCAGTAAGATTTCAATCCCGATCTTTGTTTCACAAATTTTCCCAGAAGCATAATTTATAACAAACATGATAATGTTTCATACTTTTTCAGTATAAGTTAGTGTTTTAAAAGATCACTCAAATGAACATAGTGCATTCTGAGTGATCCATATAAACCGTTCTAAATCTTAAACGTGGCTTTGAAATGAATCGAAAATTTGTTTAGCAGCTTTCACAAATTCTTCACAATTATTTCAAATACAAATTATAAACACATAGGTAGTATTTTCTTGGACACGCGTTATGGCTTATTCTTCAAGTGTCCAGATTGAGTGATCCAGTTAATTAGTTCTAACTTTCTTTGTTTAGGTTTCACAAATTTTATACCTTACCATTAAGTTTTCACAATTATTTCCTAAATCCTCTAATAATTTGGTTGTGATTGGATGAGTTTTTTGAAAAGATCACTCAGTTCACACGCACATAGAGCAGAGCCCTTATTACCAAGTGCTAGTGAACCTGTGCCACAACATCCGAGAGGATCATACTTCCAAATTATTCAAGAACACCTGATACACACACATTCACGCTGCATATTTACACAATATACATGTCATATACAAATAAATACAATATACAATATGATACAATTATGTGAAAAATAGTCAATAAATAAGAAGCAAAACTACAGTTTTTATTTCATTCATGATTCCTACTTAACCAAGTTTTTCCTAATATATATATATATATATATATATAGTTATTCTTTAAAATCGCACCGAATAAAATGAATTAGTTGTAATATTAATTCACTTCATACTTAGTTCATAGGTTGACTTATGTTTCATTGAATATTAAACATAACCTCAAAAAATTTTTAGTTTTCCTAATAATTTAAGTTCTCAGAAGTGTCCGTCAATAATCTTTGTTTTTACAGTCATTTACTTACGATTTTGAACCTAGAAAATAATATGTCATGATTGTTGGTTCTTAGGCTAATTATGTATGGACGCTGAACAATGTCCTTTAAGGCCTTACCCAGCAGCTGGATATACGGGTAAGAGGAATAAACGCAGGACAGAGCGTAAGTATTCTACTAAGGGGATAGGTTTAATGTGTAGTCTCCAGATTCCACAAAACTCTTCTGGTAAATGAGTAGCTAAATGTCGGTTTTTTTGTGGGTGGGGTGCACTATATATTTAGTAACGAATACCTTTATATGGCTTCTGCCTCTCCTTACAGCTCTTGCAGCCGCCCCTCGCAGCCAGGCGACCCGTGGTCATAGCCCTCTAGGCCCTAGGGTAATAACCTTACACCACACTTCGAAATAAGAAGCTCTCTTCCCTTTCTTTCAGAACTAATAAATTTCATTGACGTCTCTAACTCTCCAAGTGCAACCGTTAGTTAGCAAAAATGATCAAGGGCCCGTGGTCCCACCGGTTTGTTCTACTAGTGGCATAACGGTATACCACTATGTACCCAGTGATTAATATGGTATCGATAAAAAATAATAAACACTGAGAAATTACTTTTGAACCCCCGACTTCTTATCAATGAATTTTATTGTTATTTGTTCTGTACAAGGAAATACTATTTCTATTTGACATTATGAATAGTGTATTTTTCTAAGATTTTTCTTAAACCTGAGCAAAATGGACCACAACAAGTTAGTCAAGGTACGATGAGTATCGTTATTATAAACAAAAAATAAATTACAATAAGTCATTATTTACTTAATGAACCAATAATTGTATTATGATAATATAATTAATTACTTAACAACTAATAATAATAAAATAATTTACAGAATACATACATTTATGCATACCATATATGGTATGCCGCACTAGGGCGATTTATAAATAGGACCCGTAGGACCACGGGTACATAGTGGTTTACCTTAATGCAACCAGTAGTAGGATCAACCGGTGGGACCACGGGCCTTTAATCAATAGAAATCTTTCTTTTTTTTTTGGTTCCTTGGTGGTTGGGGAGCCGGTGTGAACACACCCGTAGTTCATACTTACGTCCGGAAGGGCCTTCAAACTTCATCTGAAGCGATCATCCCCTGAGAGGATGATGATGCAGAGTAGAAATCCCTTATTACATTAGTATTTAAGTACTAAATATTGCTCCTAAGTTAAACTGTATAAAATAATACTAAGTTTATTACTACTTGAATTCTTCAGAATTTCAGGACATAGAATCTATGAAAACATATGTATCATTAATTTATTGATTTTCATCTGTAGATATTTAAAGTGTATATAAAAATTTACTAAGTGATAACCATTTGCTTAAATGTAAAACATTGTAATATTTTCGATTCTGCACGAAATTGAGATCCACTATAACTTCTATGTGATTAGTACAAGGGAAGCAAGTAGAGACTGCGTTTGGATTCAACAATATTCTGTTCGAATGTAGTCTCAAATCTTTCAGCTCCTACCTGTTTGTTTATATAGGCATAGTGGCTCTTTGCAAATGAGCGAGTACGTATATATTATGTTCTATGGTATTATATAACGGTCCATAATTTATGATGCTTTCTCCCTGGCCATGTTTTTGACTTGAGCTTTCAACAATGTATATTACTCATGATTTAAGCACCTTTTCAAACCACTTTCATTCCTAAAAGACACTTATAGGAAGAACTATAATGTAATTCTTGGCCTCTACCCAATAAAATCAAGATAACGAGGCGTATGGTCTGGCCTGGGCATCTACCTCATGTAATTCTCAGCTGCGCGCTTAAGACAATTCTTTAGTATTACTATTAGCGCCGGCATAAATATGAATAATGCTAGTAAGTTAAAAGATGTAGCCAGCAAGTATATTATTAAAGTGCTGCATGTAAGCACTTCGCACCACTTCGCACACCTTCCAGAGGTTAAAGAAAGGCACTGCCAGATTATGACATATTATGCATGTCCACATCTCCACGACACGACTTCGTCAACGTGCATAGTGCCTTATGGTAGCCATACACACTACGAGAAATCGTTACGATCAGACTGTACAGTTCGAACGGAACAGTTTACGGTACGTGGCGTACGTATAGGAAACTGTGCAGTTTTATAACATACACGCTATGGTCTAATCGTAACGATTTCTCGCAGTGTGTATGGCTACCATTAAAGTGCAAGCCCGCCGGCCTATTCCCAAACTTCTTTGACATTTACTGTGTGTAACTAAAGAAAAAAATGCATATCCATCGATACTTTCCAGAACAAGTATCACAGTAGCGTTATAATAAAACAGTAGTGGATCACTTAATAACTTGATGATTATCATATTTATTTCTTAGGTTTTTAAACCACAAAGTCTTTCGAAGGTAGCTCGACAAAGTAAATAAAAATTCATTATTCTGACGATGCAGACCTGAAAAGGCTGCGAAACGTCAATAAATAAATGAAGTTCGTGCATTAACCCGTTAAAACTAGTTTTATTTATTTGATGATGATCAATTCCATCTGTCAAAAGCAATTAGCGAATAGGCCTACAGGCCGTAAATTTGCAACGTTACCGGCACCGTTTCACGTTGATGACATCGTGACATGAAGGTGTGGACAGGCACTTACGCATCTTCCTTAGACTTTTCCCAGCTGGACGTAGCTGTTCATTCGTTAGATATCACCCCTCAACCCTAGCGTGACAAAAGGCAGAGTAGTCAACAAGAGTGCTAGCAAGATGCGAAATGTTAGCGTCTCCTGAGTTTCTTGGAGTATATTGTCTAGGTCAGCCGAGATCTTCAAACTATGGCATCTTTTCTTTGTTACTATACTCATATTTCTTTATTCATCAGATGAACACTCGAACTGATCGCTATGTTTCTTCCAATAGCCCCTGCATGACACATAGATAATCGACAGACGTGGCCAGGGAGTGTAGCAGCAAGATGCCGCGTGTCAGTACTTCGCGCACTTTCCACACATCCATGGGGTTGCACGTTCGGAAAGACACTGACAACGCTCGCTGCATGATTGTAGTTGGCAGAAAACGCCATGGCTCATTCAGTCTCCAGCTGAAAAGAAAACAGAACTGAGCGGCAAGTGGGAGTTTCAACTTCTCCATCGAATCCACATCGCTTTAACTTATTGCATTCAACAAGCGTTATCCAGAGTGAAACATGATGTTACCTAGGTACTACAACTTAGTAATGTAAAAGGGACGTTTCGAGTTTAGAACTTGCGCTTAAGTTCATTACACTGGTCTAAATATTACAGAATCCCAACCTTCCCAGATCTTAGTTATTCTCTAATGGATAAAATATGGATAATCGAGTAGTATTAGTATTGAACGTATATACTCGCTAATTTGTGCAATTCTCAGGTGGCATAGGTGCACAAAAAATTTACTCACTTTACTAACAGTCTGAGACTTGATTTTTAGTTATGATATTTAAGAGGCTATTATAATGTATTTTGTATGCTGCCAGAACAATAGTAGGGGTTAAAAATCCGCTAAGCGTCTTAAAAGTTCCAGAGTAAGAGCGCACTCATTAATCGATCGCCTTTTTAAAATAGTTCCATATTTTGTCCGTTATAAAATAAGTAAGGTCTGGCAGGCTAGGGATCTTACTCTAGAACATATTAAAAATATGTCGATAAATACCAAGTTCATATAATTTTCACGACATTGCTGCGAGAATGTTTCGTCAATAGATATATATGTGAATAGAAGGACAATGATATGATAATCCTTACTTAATCCTTTATATACCTTAACCTTTTACATAGTGATACAAGATACAAAATTTCAATAGAGGAGACATTTTAAGACAAATAGACACAGAGCCCCATTTTAGTGTTAACTCCTTAATAAAACTTAGTATATTTTAAATTTAAGGATTTAAATCATCTCCTAAACTAAAAAATAAAACGGGGGAAATGCAGCCATTAGTTTAAAAATAAATTGTTTGATAGCAGTCTCTTTCTTTCAGAGAATCATGAGAATCGTGCCTGAATAATCCTCAAGTAGTGTTGACATGACACAAATGACATAATAATATTATTACATATTATATGATTGTTGCTGACCTTAAATAAAGCCCTTCGAATGTAAAATATGTAATGAAGATGATGAACACAGGGTAGAGGAGCGGCATGACAACCAGCAAGCATAGAAAGAGGGTCCCGATGAGCTTCAGGAACGTGGGGAAGGGCGCACCGTACCGCCAGAGAGAGTGCACATCGCGCGCGAACTCTTGCGCGAACAAGCGCAGCCGACCCAGCCTCGACGCCGAACGTAACTGTTGGGAACAGTGATGTAGATGAGTCCTTAAGGGTTTTAACCTAAGATGTTCTTAAGCGTGCTTAAAAAAATGCATTATAGAGATTGTTTTAATTTAAGCAGTGGTCCGGAAACAACCGAAAATACAATAAGTGGTGTGCTTGACATTTTCACATTATAAACCCACCGCTTATTGTATTATCCGTTACTGCACTCTCGTTGAGGAATTTTCACCAAGTGCCAAGAAGAAAAATGAAATTATGAATAGAATTTAAAATATGAAAAATACCTTACTACAGTATTAGTGAAAAGCCGGTATGTGTGTTCAGACTTCGCTATACTTTCATATTAAATCATACCTCTATCATAAATAATTTGTTAGCCCGGAGATATGGTTTCATTCTGAGCCTTATTTTGACTGCGGTTCTTCTGACGGTGCCACCATGCCCAGTCCTTCATATTTCGAAACCATTTCCTGTATCATGGGACTAGTAGATAGATTTGTCCTATTACTGTATTTTTTAAAATTTCTTAGATAAAGCGGTGCGCTCCATGAAACTGATGCGGATAACCGGATAACAAAGAGAGGAATAATAGGGGATGTGAGGTGAATGCCGGATGGTGCTGTTAACTTTTTGACATGTTTCAATTTGACATCTTCACAAGGCACTATAAGAGAGACTATAAGGCACTATACCATAAAGCAATGTGAAAAAATCACAAAATCAATGACAATGCATTAATTTATCTCGTCCTTAATTTACGAGATCTCTGTGATCTCGCATAGAAATTTAAAAAAAACTATAACAAGTTGATGACTGCACTTATTTGGTTACTTTCTGAGATTCAGTCTCGGTTGAATTTGAATTTTGATTAATTTAAAGTACCTAAGAAATGGTCTTCCTATCTTCGGAATCAAGTGTAGGTATTTGGCTGATTGATCTTGCTTATTTTAATTTTTAAATGATTCTATTATTATATCCACGAAATACCATTGATTCGAATTCGATATTGGTTCCAGTACCTTTAGCACGAACCAATATCGAATTCCTAACGTTTGCGAGTCCGAAATGTCATAGTCAAATAATTAATTTTTAGGTTTGCCAACTATTCGAATTCGATAATGGTTCGTGCTAGGAGTACTGCTAAGGGTACTGTATCTCATGAATCGTAACAAGAATATAGGTAGGAGTAACAATTTTCACATAATATGTATTTCTATTACCAGATAATAGTAAAAAAGTGGGTCTACCTTTAATCGCAGAACTTGTAATATGTATTACTAAGCATATCAGCGGATGGCATCAACTTTATATCGCAAAAAAATCATACGGCATTCACTCATCAAGAGATTAAAAACTCATAATTTCACTCAGGAAGGTTATAAACAAAATTTTTTTACGATACCAATCCAGTGGGATATATTAGTCCAGTCAATGAAGGCTTAACTTTGCCATTTTGAGTTGATCACCTGTAACCAACGCGAAAATTTCCGCAAGGGTTCGTAGATTAATATACTAAAATTGCAGGGTGCTGCATTGACGGCAAAGGGTGAAAAAAAAATGCGAAATGGTGCAAAAACGAGATTTTCGTCAATATCTCGCGACTGGCTGGAAAAATAGAAAAAGTTCCTATACAAAGTTGTAGAAAATTTGATTCCTACAAAAAACGGTATCAACATATTTTCGCGTATCTCCCATAGTTTCTGCACAAAATGCAATTAAAGGTGCAAAATAAAAAAAGAAAATATATTGTTAATGGTAGTTTTTTTCATTTTTAAACGATCCTACGGGTCAAATTCAACAATCACCACTTACTGAAATATTTAAGGATGAGTTTTCGGCAGTCCACTGAAATGAAAATTGTCTACCGAAATGGTAAAAAATGACCACCAAAATGATACAGCCAAGAACATCGCCTTTGTAGTGGAAGGGTTCCCTATTTTGAATTTAAATAAATTTCCTTATTCTTTGTAAATATTTTTGTTCATTATTTTTTAATAAGAAATATTAATGATGAATTAATTAATTGCTACTCCTATTAATTATTATTAATAATTATTAATATGTACATTTTCAAAATAACAAACAAAGCGCGTTTAGAAAGCTAGAAGTTTATTAGTTAGTAAATCGTCCCCTTAGTGCCAAAACCGATTATCTGCACTTTTCCGCTACTGAACTTTTATAATACAAATCGACCCGTCTCCTTAAGCCGCATCTACAGGTAAAACCCATTATGCTCTACGATACTTCCTGAAATAGCTAATGAATAAACAGAATAAATGCAAATTATTTCCAAAATTCTTGATTTAAAATCTAATAAACCCATTCAAAACACTTAAGTTTGTAAATGTATTACCGCTAAAACCAAGTTTCGGATTTAAACTCATTTTTCATGTAGACACTTAGAGTAAATATCCTGTGAGTATCCTGTAATTGGCTTTGACTGTTGTTGACTTGACTGTTTGAATTTTACCAGATATTTTAATTTTACTAGATGAATTAAAAACTAACAAATCTGTCGCTTTTTGCAAAAAAATATATAAAATATGTTTGCGTTATAGTTGAGGCAAGTAAAAGAGGATAGACCGAATCGATCGACAGGTGACCTTCTAGCGTACGTGTTTCTGGGGTGAGGCTATCGATAAGCGAGGTGAGTCTTTGACTATCAGCCTTAACATCGCCAAGGCTTTGATAGGGTCTGGCACATAAGTCTTCTCTCCAAGCTTCCTGGATACGGTCTTCCTACTCAGTTCTGTGCCTGAGTGGCTGACTTCCTGCATGAGCGTCAACGGACGGCGACGGATGTAGTTTGCAGTTCATGTCAGTGAATGCCGGTGTTTCTCAGGACTCCGTCCTATCCCCTACACTCTTTTTGCTGCATTCAATGATTTAATTCCTCTTGAGAATATTCATTGCTATGCAGACGATAATACAGTGCATGCGAGATATTTTGGATATGCAGCCGGTGGACAGGTAGAAACCAAAGAGAAACGGGAGAATCTTGTCATTGAACTCAATCAAGATTTGGACCGCATTTCGGAATGCGGTACCAAGAACTTGGTTGAGTTCATTGCCAAGAAAGCCAGGTCTGCGCTTTCACGGTAAAACTAACGTTTTTTCACGCCTCAGCAACTGTGCTTGTTGTACATGACGTAAGTACGGTCTTGCGTGGAATATTGTTCGCACCCCAGAGGATGGCTCCGCCAAGTACTTTTTTGATGCTTTGGATAGGTTACAGCGGCGCGCGATCCGCATTATTGGCGACAAAGAGGTGACTAAACACCTCGAGCCTCTTCAATTACGCCGTGATGTGGCGTTATTAAGCGCTTTTTATCGTCTATACCATGGCGCATGTTTTGAGAATTTATTGTCCCTTAACCTACCTTCCCCTTTTGTACAGAAATCTACACACGCTGGCTTACGTTGTCACCGACTTGAACTACTATTCCCACTATTCCAACGTGAACAAAGAAATTTGGTAACTCATTTCTTTGTCAGACTATCCGCAAATGGATTACTCTGCCCTCTTACGTATGTGAAGTAGCAATTCTGCAGGCCGGCAAAATGAGGATAGCTGGTGTGGCAATTAATACTGCTGTACCAGCTATCTTCGCGTCTAGACTCCTCCGTCACCTAACCTCTGGTGGAGTCATTTGTCGAACCTATTTATAAAAAAAATATCTATAGCAAAGAAAAAAGATCTTGATGATTTGTGCAACAAAGGTGTCTTACCTGAAGAGTACCATGGATTATACAGATCTTTGGCTACAGAAACAAGCCAATCTGATCGTTTTCCTTCAGAAACCATTCTGATGACTCATCATGTGTAAGCAAGTCAAGTGCAGATGAATAATACTGATTTTTTTTACACTTATTTAATTAGGAATACTATCGGCCGCCAACGAATTCGTCGGCTTTAACTTTAATATACATTTTTAAACTAGATATTTTAGATAGAAATACTACTGCACCCGAAATATCGAACCTACAGTATCTAGATAAATGTACATCATAAACCGAAACTATTTAATATACCTATATTGACTCAAGGATCTCTAAAAACATATGGATGTATCATTTTGGCGATACTATTATTCCCTGGACTCTTATCGGCATTACTGTCCACCGAATCAATTGTCCCCATATCACTGAAATGATATACTTACTATTTGGCGGGAATCCACAATGACGTTGTTGCGCATGCGTGTGCTCTAGCGAAGGCGGACTGGCTCGAAGTGAGCACTGACAAGCGGGACACAACAACGCAATGTAGACGAACCTATTTCACAAAAACTTACTGTCCATGGAAATGATAACTTTTTCCAGGACAAAAGTTGAGTGCTTGTTACATGTATAAGGAGGAAGGTAAACAAACGGTACTAGGTTTTGTTGATAGGCTATATTATATATTAATGATATAAAAGTTAATTTCAATCGAAAAAATAAATGTAACTACAGAGGAAGTAATTTTACGAGAGGAATTGGGTTCACACAGGTTCCCGTGATGATAAAGGCCACTTCGTATTTTTTTATTTTAATTGGAATAGAGCCCATTACTAATAATATAATTCTTTTTGACAAGGTTGAAAGGTACCTACTTAACTAAGAAAAAAAGTCAAAATCATAAATGAGCACATTGCACTGCCGCTCTGAGCAATACCGTGTATTTATTTTTTGCTTGGGGAGTTCACCTCTACATGATTCATTGGGATTTAATTAATATGTTTCGGGCATTTTTTTATTTCCTTTTTCATATAATAATCTTGACAAAAAAAATATTTCAATTTTATTATATAATAAAGTATAAGAGTATGTATTGCATATTGCAAACATATGTTTTAAATGCAAATTTTGGCTGAACACGATGAAATAAAAATAAATGTTAAAGTTAAATTGAAATAATTTTTTTATCAAGTTTATTTTTCATTTTCTTTCTTAGTAGTTATCATTATAAACCAAATACGCAAAATAGTTAACCCAGTAATGTTTATTAGTGATTAATTAAAAAAAAATAACATTGTTACCCAGCGCGCGATTCAACAATGAATGAATAAAAGTGAGCAACTCACTCCCTAGCGCGTGATCTGTGTACGGAAGAGACGGTTAAACAAGGTTAGCTGATTTTGGCTGAAGCATAAATTTTAAAGTAAGGATGTCTAACACTAATAAATTATAGTGGAAGAAAAGAGTAAGCACCGATAATCGATTTTAGCTGAAGTAATTTATAAAGCGTTGAATAAAAGTTATTAAGTAAAAACAAATTGAAATTCGGTATCTTATTCAATTGCCTCAAACATTACGCAAATATACTATACTATTTGTTTTTGAAAAAAGCGACTTAGATCTGTTAATTTTTACTTCATCTAGTAAAATTAAAATATCTGGTAAAATTCAAACAGTCAAAGCCAATTACAGGATACTCACAGGATATTTACTCTAAGTGTCTACATGAAAAATGAGTTTAAATCCGAAACTTGGTTTCAGCGGTAATACATTTACAAACTTAAGTGTTTTGAATGGGTTTATTAGGTTTTAAATCAAGAATTTTGGAAAGATTAGCTATTTCAGGAAGTATTCGTCGTAGAGCATAATGGGTTTTACCTGTAGATGCGGCTTAATGAGACGAGTCGATTGGTATTATAAAAGTTCAGTAGCAGAAAAGTGCAGATAATCGGTTTTGGCACTAAGGGGACGATTTACTAACTAATAAACTTCTCGCTTTCTAAACGCGCTTTGTTCGTTATTTTGGAAATGTACACATTAATAATTATAATTAGTAATAATAACTAACAGGAGTAACAGTTAATTAATTCTTCATTAATATTTCTTATTAAAAAATAATGGACAAAAATATTTACAAAGAATAAGGAAATTTATTTAAATTCAAAATAGGGAACCCTACTACGAAGGCGTTGTTCTTGGCTGTAACATTTCGGTGGTCATTTTTTTACCATTTTGTTAGACAATTTTCATTTCAGTGGACTGCCGAAAACTCATGCTTAAATATTTCAGTAAGTGGTGATTGTTGAATTTGACCCGTAGGATCGTTTAAAAATGGAAAAAAAACCATAAACAATATATTTTCTTTTTTTATTTTGCACCTTTAATTGCATTTTGTGCAAAAACTATGGGAGATATGCGAAAATATGTTGATACCTTTTTTGTAGGAAATCAAATTTTCTACAACTTTGTACTAGGAACTTTTTCTATTATTCCAGCCAGTCGCAAGATATTGACGAAAAACTCGTTTTTGCACCATTTCGCATTTTTTTTCACCCTTTGCCGTCAATGCAGCACCCTGCAATTTTAGTATATTAATCTACGAACCCTTGCGGAAATTTTCGAGTTGGTTACAGGTGATCAACTCAAAATGGCAAAGTTAAGCCTTCATTGACTGGACTATATGTGCCTGTCTGTCTATTACCTCTTCACGCTTAAACCACTGAACGAATTTAGATGAAATATGATATAAATATGGTATACAGAAGGTAATCTGTATTATTATTAAATATTGTAATATCACAAATAAAATAAAACGTCAATTTCACTTTAATGTTGAATTTAAATAGCCGTCAACTAAACATAAATAATAACTTTTTTGATGCTCCCAGTTGCGTCATTGTTAGCACAAAACAGTTGACAGACGCGTGTCTTAAGCAGAAGGAACTTGCGCTCGCAGTGGTTCCAACTGGTCCGAGATATCGTGTCCGTCAGCGGTGTCTGTGTGTGCGCTTTGCTTGAGCGCACTTTGTACGTGGATTACATTCTGTACTATCTATTTTGTGTTATGAGACATTATAAACCAGTTTGGTATCCAACAATCGCACTCGCATAGTTTTTGATTATTGATTCCATTGATGCAAACCGCCATTGTTCTACGATCGCGCTGGGCCTTCGTCAGTGGCCTTATCAAGGTCGAATAGAGGAAAGGAAATGCTTTATCATAACGCTTCGTACTACAATTATTGTAAACATTATTATACTTATTTATCACAACTATAGTCTCATAATTATAATATTTAAGTGTATAAAAAACATAGCTCTTAATTAAAACCTTGGCCCTGAGACTAAGAAATACTGACGATCATACCTATTAGAAGACTTCAATCCGTCCCTTAAAGTTCATTTGTGAGAAAACAGTACTTATATCTACCAATCCCCTAATATCACCCATCAATCCCCACTATCACCCACCAATCCCTTATTATCACCCTCGAATACCCTTTACACCCTCCAATCCCCTTTTCACCCTTCAATCCCTTTTCACCCCCGAATGCCCTTTTCATACTCGATTCTCTTTTCATCCTCGAATCCCCTTTACTCCCTCCAATCCCCTTTTCACCCTCCAATCCCTTTTCATCTATCAATCTCCTGTGCTCATTTAGTTTATCAATTTTCTGATATAGATACTCCTCCTCTCTCACTCTAACCTGCAGTGCCGCTTAGATTAGTCAGATTCGACTTAAATATTAAAAAAACCGTAAAGAATACGCACGGCGCCATGTATGGGAGGGTGTGGTAAAATGTTTTAACGCACGCTCCTTTGCATGGCTCGTAATTTTGAACTTTCGAACAATGTATACAACCTCCGTATTTTATTTTTTTTATGTTATAGGGGGCATACGAGCAAACGGCTCACCTGATGGTAAGTGATCACCGTCGCCCATGGACACTTGCAACACCAGGAATATCCGTAAATGCATTTTTTGAGCATGTGTGTTTAAAAAGTAATTCTTTTTTTACATAGATATTACTTTTACATAGATCATTTATTATCTACTAATCTACTTAGAAATAATATTACTACATACTCAAAACTTACGCAACATAATATAAAGTCTTGTTTCCTATACGCAAAAGTCTTTTGAACAGATAATCAATATTGTCAACCTCCGAGGCCAAGTGGTAGCCTGCTCAAATGTCCCGAGTTTGAATCCCGATGGGATAAATGTTGGTGTGATAAATATAAATAAATATTTTATTGAGCAACTGCTGATTTTGGTTAGTACTTAACGGATGAGAGTTTTAAATTAATATATATTTCGGTGTAACAACAGAATAAAAGACGTTGTTAAGTCTAACTTTTGAAACTTTGCCTACTCCATATAGATAGGGTGAGACTATTCTCGGGGCATATAGGCTAGCTAGAGGCTACGTACATGATAAGTATGTATGTTACATAGACTTTTGGCTTTTATAAGCGCTTATCGTTACCCCTTATATTACCCCTCGTTTACAGCAAGATATAATACATGTATATAACACATTTTATCCAATGTCTTCATTTTTTGTTCACAATATTATACATGTATAAAAAAAATGGTTGCCTGTAAAGTCGGTTTTACGGGCGAAGATTTTACGTGACAACGTCTTTTTCTCGGTAGAATATTTATTGATATGAATATAATTAAATTGCACAATAGGAACAAGGAATTGAATGAAAATAAGAATTGCACAAATTTTAACTATAGAAATATATTTTGTTTACTAAAACATTGTACATGTAAACTTAAACTCATCGTAACGTTACCGAGCGTTACACTTTTTCATAAGTGACTCCCAGCCGCAACCTAATTTAAGACGTTGTCACGTCAATATGTAGTACTAATGTGTAAAGATACTTGCATCAAACTTGTTGGGTACACATAATTTGTAGAATAATTGTTGTAACTGTTTATAACATTTTTTCGTTTACACTACATAGACGTCTTGTATCTTTACAAGTAAAAATTACTCATTTACTTCACATAATTTCTTTATCCAACAAGTTACAAATATGTATATAAGTATGAACAAAAATTAAGACATTGTTATAATTTGTTAAATACATGTATTTTATACATTGGTATAAAAGAGGGGTATAGATACTCGTTGTCTATGTAAACGAAAGAATGTCACAAGTTTTCTACAAGTTTAGGTAAAATGTATATGATGATTGTGTGAGTATATGACTTGATTCTTGGTGTAAACGAGGGGTTACGCTATATAAATCCACAATTTTTTAACAAGCCGCTTTGGCTATTTCAACATTGGTAGCAAGTACAATTCGATGGAAGCAGTACTCGAAACTGTCATCGGCGTAATCCAAAACATGATTGAAAACAAGATGCGTTACGTAAATATTATACTTACGTTGACAATATCGTCAATGTAAGACGCCCAGCGTAGTTTATCTTACAGGTGTAGAAAGAAATCGACAAGACTCTCGAGATTACCGTTATGTTCAGAGGTAAAAGGCTATAGATTTAGCCAGCCGCGGGCAGTGCGCCAACAGTACGCTAGAATACGGTCGTCAATATGCCGCACTCGGTTCTTATCGGTTTTGCTGTGCTTGTAATCTGCCACACGTGAGTAATGTTTATAATACTAAAGTACCCCCCAATATTTCTGGGTAAAAAAGTCATGATTTTGTGCTGTCATTGTAATTAGGGGTCTCGTGAAATGTAACTATAGTTTTTTTTTACTTAATAGTTTAATGTCAAATTGTTAGGGAAGCTTTATAATTCTTGGAATATTCATTATCAATAACAGCGTGACTTAATAGAACTAACATTGTGATAGACATTCAACATTTCGTGAACGCTTGCTTTAAAGGACGGACGATACGAAAAACAACTTTATTGTTTTGATCAAGGAAATAAGTTAAGATGTTTATGAGGAAGTTTAAATAATATGTAATTATTTCGACTGAAAGTACAGTTATTTTTGTGTGTCATCTCTTATTCATTATAAAATCACATGATAAAGGTAGCTATTTTTTTATAGAAATGATCCTGTGACCTATTGCATATATTTCATGTCTCGCACTTCTTAGGAGAAACAAGTTAGTCTTAAGTAAACTGGAGTGAAACGATTGCCTAAAACACCTAAGATAAAATTAAAAAGCCTGTAAAATTTTGCTTAATTTGCAGAATTCGTTTTAATTAACTGCACATAGTTATTAGGTCTTTACCTATGAAATTGAGGTTTTCCATGAAATAAGTTAACGCCTTTTTCCTATAATTTTTATTTATCAGCAATACATTTTTGCCAACATAATGGTAGCTGATTGATGCCCTTTTTGAAAAAGTCTGCTGCACGGGAGGCAACTAATTCTTTTTGAACTGAGTTAAGTTATCCAAATTATGGAAACAGTAGAAGTCTATAGGGGCAAGGTCTGGTGAATACGGTGGATGACGGAGAACTTCCCACCCAAACTCTTGTTACTTGGAGACTGTCTGCCGTCTGCTGTGCAGTATGAGGTCGCGCGTTGTCGTGCAGGAGCAGCGGAGCCGAACGATTGACCAAAGCTGGTTGGATATGTGCGAGCTTCTCCATCATTTGTGTTCAGTTATTTACAGTACACATAGGCAGTAATGCTTATCCCGTTTGGTAATAAGCTGTGATGAATGACACCGGCGCAAGACCATCAAACACTGACCATCACTTTTTTAGGGGTCAGTTTCGTTTGAGGCATTGTTTTGGTGCTGAACCAGGATCTAACCAACTTCCTGAAACGCACAAATGCGCTGAAAATAGAATGCTAACCGTTAAATAAATGACTAAATTCCAAAAAAAAACCCTATTTTAAAAATATAAATATTTTGAACTTAGAATTCTTAGCGAAAAAATAAAAAAATGGACTTGATAGAGCCAGTACGGCAGAACGGCAATTTGATATGTATATAAGTAAATATTAACCAAAACAGAAGGAGCAGTTACATTATACAAGTGCCCAGAATGGTATAATTATCTATACATAAATATGTAGTATCATTAAGTATTTGATTATTTTAATCAGATTTTAAAAAATATTGAGCACGGCACTTGGTAACATGGCCATAAATTATTATTAAAGTGACAGCAGCAGCAAGAGCTTACGGCCTGTGCTTGCACTCCGCAAGCAAGTGACTTTCACGAAAACACTAACAGTAGAGTCAGTAGCGCGTGACCATTTTTACATAGGTTCAAAAAATTATTGTGCACTAATATTTTTAAAGCAAAAATTTAAATGACTTTTATATTTTTAAGCTGAAAATTCGACATTTGAAAATAAAATTAAAGTACTGTTTGGTAGAAACAGTACTTTTATTTTATTCATGTGGTTTCAGCACAATCGAAAAATCTAATATGTAGTAAAATATATAGGATGCAGGCATTTATCAATTATTACAACTGCCTAACCTGATAATACTATGAAAGGTAAAGTTCGTTAGTCTCTTTCTACATCTGCATTTATTTTATTAAATTATTTGATTCCTTTTTTACATTTTATAATCAAAACAAAACTCATTCAATAAATCTTAAACTAATTACATCTTGACAGCAGCAGGAAGTTATCTTTGGAACTATCGATTTAGAAAAATCTTTTGCCAATAGAAGGAAATATGTCAATATTGTCGCCCAGATCAGCATGGGCCAATTTATTCTTTATAATTACCTATTTTATATAATATACTGTCATCCAGTACCCACACCTTTATTAGTGAAGTATAATCGGTTGCCGTTACAAAAAATATTATTTTCTACTTCCCTTCATAATTTCATCAAGAACTATTTCCGCGACGTTCTTCGCCATTATGTGTATTATGTCTACTTTATTTCTATACAAACAAATTCAATGTAAGCCGTTTAATTCAACTGTATTTATTTGAAGTCAGTTAAGCATAAAAAGTTTTTTATTGCAGATCCCAAGCTGGTTACACAAAATTCCCTGATGGCTTCACATTCGGTGTCGCTACAGCTGCTCATCAGATTGAGGGCGCTTGGAATGTTAGCGGTGAGTTTAAAGACAACTAGTAAGAATACTTATCATAAAATTGCCTATTTCAAATGAAAATCTTTGGTGTTGCTATGGAAAGATATACTTCTCTTGATGGTTTAGATAAACTTTGATAAAAGTTTAAGATAACGTTATTAAGATGTTTACGACTTAGTTCAGTTACACGTGCTAAAACTTATAAGCGAACTTTTGTACTTTGGATATTATGTATTATCACCTGAAATGCTTCCTCTCCCTCCTCATTTACGCTTTTTTCATTATTCTTTCATACATTATTTTCAGTATTTACAGGCGCGACCAAGTTTTCTTTGCTGGGATTTTATTGCATTTTTACAAGATTCAATGAAGTCTTATAAAGACAAAACATGTGTTTTTCTAATCGTGATAGAGCCATTTCCGAGACACACGAAATACTTAAGAAGTAACGTACTTTGAAAAATAATTACTCCTTTAAATTGTAAGATTTTATTAGATGTACCACTTTGATAGTCTCGCTTATTGCTTATTTATATATCTATCTACACTTTCAGAATGTATATATACAATGTGATAGGCAAAAGATAAAACACAAAGTAAAAGTTGAAACATGACCATTTCAACTTTTACTTTGTGTTTTATCCTCTGACTATCACGTATCAGGGTGTAAAAAAACCTTTAACGAAGTGGATGGTCACGTTTTTTCCACATCATGACGATCACTTTTTTCTTCTGGACCATATCTGGGAAATTCATTTTTATGGAATTGTTGAAGGTCAAAGTTAAATTTTTTTTCCAGACTTATAATACATTCATATTTTCAAAGCACATTCTTTGCGTAGCGCCTCAGTAGCGCGCCGCGTTACACATTGCGTAGTGGAAAAATGAATTTTTTTTACTTAAAAATACAAATGATTCCTGTATAGTATAGACTTTTATCTATGAATGGATGTTTCCAGGCAAATCCGAAAATGTGTGGGACCGCCTTTCCCACACTCGGCCCGAAATGATCGCCGACGGTACCAACGGCGACATTGCGTGCGACTCCTACAATCGGTACCGGGAGGATGTGGAAGAGCTCGCCTACATGGGGGTGGACTTTTACCGTTTCTCGTTCTCCTGGGCCCGAATCCTGCCCAGCGGTCGCGTGGACTTCGTCAACCCCGACGGAATACGCTACTATCACGATTTACTGGACGCTTTAGCCGAGAAGAACATTGAACCTCTGGTAAACACTAATTTGTTTAATAGCTTTAATATGACATCTTCCTTGTACCGTAGGTGGCTGAATTTCTTTTTTCATTCTTCTTTCAAATTGAAAAGTTTCTGATCATAAAGGAGTTAAGAAAATAATGCTCTTGACTATACTATCATGATAAAAGTAAAGAAGGGAACTTTATAACACACACATATAAAGAGGTTAAAATAATTAAGTACACTAATTAGTGCATGCTGAGTTAAATTCACCTTTATGTATCTTATTGCACATTTTGTCAATTTCATTAAATATATTTAATCTTAACTACGTGTTGGTATGTAGTAGTAGGCTTTTTTGTGATATAGGTACTATGATACGAAGGGTGCGGGTTCAAGTCCCGTCTGCTGCCTGGTCCGCGTGGATTTTTTTCTAGTTATATTTTCTTTAGATTTAAACATCAAGCAGTAACATGCTTAAATATATATATATGAATATAGGTACTATGTTAGTAAACCTATAAAACATAAAAGTCATTTAATTACTTACACTAAACTGATCTGAGACTAATTATTCGCAGGTTACACTTTTCCACTGGGACTTGCCACAAACTCTCCAGGACTTGGGAGGGTGGGCGAACCCAAAAATGGTCGACTATTTCCGTGACTACGCCGACCTGTGCTTCAAAGAATTCGGAAGGAAAATCAAATCTTGGATCACATTCAACGAACCGTACGAAATTTGCGAAGACGCCTACGGTGATGAGAAGAAAGCACCAGCTATCGACAGCCACGGCGTTGGCAACTATTTGTGCAGTGACACCCTCCTAAAGGCGCACGCTGAGGCTTACCATCTCTACAATGAAACTTATCGGCCTACTCAAAATGGCAGGATAATGATTTCCATCAACTCCATCTGGTATGAGCCCAGCGACACTAATAACGCCGAACAAGTGACATTAGCTGAAGTCGCCAATCAGTTCAAGGTAAATGTTTTATACTTATCCCTAGACTACTACTACTTATGTTACATAAAATGAAATAATTGTCATCGAAATTCAATAATATTACCGTAAGTGTTAACTTGCCGGTCTACTATTTTATTGCTTACACTGTATCTCTGATGTTTAGTTCAAGACCTAGTTACTGTGATGTGATTATTTCCAAGTGTTGAATTCCGTTTATCGCATGGAAGCAGCCGTTTTACTCTTAAATTCGTGGTCATATCTCCGTCTGTGTTTTAATGCCGTAGAGTAGAAGACTACACGATGAAATTGACGATACATTGAATGTTGGTTCACCTCAAACTACAATGATTTCTGTAAATGCGCTTTTGCATTTGGAATTCCTATCTTAAGTCAGGTACTTTAAGAATACAAAATTAACTAATGAAATATTTGACCAGTTTGGCTGGTTCGCTCATCCGATCTTCACGGAGGAAGGTGGCTATCCTTCCGTCATGGTTGAGAACGTGGCACAGCAGAGCGCTGCCGAAGGTCTCCCCAAGTCACGCTTGGAACAATTCGACCAGTACTGGATCGACAGAATCAAGGGCACCTCCGACTTCCTGGGCATCAACCACTACACCACCCACTTGATCACCGGCGCCGGTGTGGACCCTATTGCTAAATCACCGTCATGGCTTAAGGACATCGGAGCCGTAACTACAATGAATGTCGGTGGCGAATCCGCTTCGGAGTGGCTGAGGGTAAGTCATTTACAAATATTAAATGACAGGATGACTTACTTACCATTTGTCTAATAAAAAGAAAGCCATAAACATTTTAAAAGTTCATCGCCAAAATATCTGATCCATAAAGATATAGTAAAATGCATTTCATTTTTCGCTTTTTTGAAGTGAAACTTCTTTACGCACGCTTGTCTTGGGGAGTAAGCTGGCGAATGCGTTACTCGTTACGAAAAGTGTGTTCGAGAGAGGCTAGCGGCAGTTGATTGGGGGATATAAGCCAGACAATGCATTGCGCGCGCACATTTTCTTTCTCCCTTTCTCTTATAGCTAGTAAATGAAATATGTATATGTACATACATTTATATATATATATCGAGCCCTTACCACCAAATTATCGTAAGCGACACTCGCCGAATTATCGTAAGCGACACTTTTGCCGAAATGCGTTTTTTGTGGAAACTAATATTTTAAACCGTAACGGACCCATCTCTGTTGATATTTCCCTCTATTCTTCCCTCTATTATATTATAACGGTGTTCTTTTGGAGGGAAATATCAACAGAGATGGGTCCGTTACGGTTTAAAATATTAGTTTCCACAAAAAACGCATTTCGACAAAAGTGTCACTTACGATAATTTGGCGAATGTCGCTTACGATAATTTGGCGGTAAGGGCTCGATATTGTACACACACATATATTTATATAGGGGAGGGCGGGGCTGGTACTAACAAATTTTGTATTATGATTTATATTTTCGTTGATAATAGACTTTTTCATTTTATTTTTTATTGAAAACATGCTTTGGTTATTCAGCTATGATATTAATAACAAAAATCATCAGGTATGTGTGCTTCCAGAAAGAGAGCCATGAAAATAAAAAAAGTCATTTGTTAATATATATAATATATGCATGTGGGGCGAATATTAACGGAGCTGGGGTAAGTATTAACGTAAGGGGCGATTATTAACAGATCCTTTTATTGCCTTTAATGTTAAACAAATTAGTACTTTTTATGATAGGAACTCAAAGAATATAACAAATTCTTTTAAATCTACACTTAATAACAATCATTGGTACAGTTTGAATATTTTTAAGCCTAAAAAAATTTAAACACACACTTTAAACTTAATGTTTTAAAGTTACTTAAACTTTTTAGGTTCAACAGTCTTTAAGTTTCTTAATAAAGTAAAAAAAATAGTATTATCTTAAAAATGTATAAAAAACATTTTTTTAAATAGTTTAATAATTAAATAATTAATAATTAAATAATAAGGTAACTAGTTTAATCAGTCTTAAACTAATTTGTACTTAAACTTAAACAGGAAATAGGTACTTCATATCAGGCAATAATTAATCAGAATACGATTTCTCATCATCTGAGAAACAGTTGAGGCATATGTATTTTCTGGTATCACCTATAATACAGGTGATATGAGCCCATCCTTTGCATAAAATACATTGTATCCAGTCATGTCCAGATTTGTCTTCATTATAAGACTCGGCACAAACTAAACAAAAGCAGGTATCTTCTTCACTTACATCCTGCAGGGTAAGTATTAACATGTTAATACTGACCCCACTCAATTTGTTAATTTCAGCCCCAAGATCACTTTTTATATTTCATCAATTACAGAAAATAAACTAGTCAAAATAATTACAAACGAGTATAATAGTTTTAAAATCAATAAAATATAAATTTAAATATTATTTATTTCTGTACATATATAATCAATAAAATATAATCCATTTAGGATAAACTTTGAATAAATTTAGCAAAAAAATAAATCTTAAATCAATTTATTACGAAGTACAAAAAGTTTGTTTACCTGCCAATGCACAACTATCACGGCAGATCGACAAACGCACAATTATCACGGCAGATCGATAACTGACAAGTTAGGAGACGTTCGGCTGTGTATATAGTTATTCTAAACCAACTCTCATTTTTTTATCACTTCACGTTTGGCAAGAATAACCTTGTTAATTCTTACCTCCGTTAAAACTAGGTCTGCCATCCGTCCTGGTTTCCCCGGATTCGTCCTAGTCCGGGGAGCGTCCGGGCGGGGTTTTATTTGTAGTCCGGGTTTAAAAATTTACGGCAACGCATGAGTGCCCTAGGTGCTGCAAGTGTCCATGGGCAGCAGTGACCACTTATTATGAGGTAGACCGCTAGCTCTTTTGCCTAGATCAACATAAAAAAGTTGATTTGTGACATTTTTAACTGTTTTTTTATTGGTCAGTCCGGGCTATGGGCATCAAAATCCGGGGTTATCACGCGTCTTATCCTGGTTGCCACATTTTAGGGATGGCAGCCCTAGTTAAAACCAGCCCTGCCCTCCCATAAAGATGGAGCTAAAGAAGTTTCACCTCAGTCGTGTGGTCAAAAGCACACCCGTTTTTTTTAGTATATTTTTCGCACAATAAAGTGCGCTCTAACATGGCTCTAACTGGAGAAATAAGGAAAGGTTTAAATTATTCTCATCTTAATTAGGTGGTGCCTACAGGGTTTGCCAACTTGCTGCGCTGGTGCAAGAGCTCATACAACGATCCACCTATTTACATCACCGAAAACGGCTTCTCCGACCGCGGTACTCTGCAAGACTATGGACGCATCAGTTATTTTAATGTGAGTACCTATACCATAAAGACTACTCCTCGCGCCCTTTGCCTCATTACTAAGGGTCGCGATTCTTCCGAAATATTCCGTCGTTGGCGTTACATCGCCATCTGTACCCTTCAAGTACAGGAGGAATCCGATTCCGAAGCGAATGTTTCAGTCAGTTTATTCTATGTATTGTTATTAGTGATGTCATGTGATGTTGAAGAAATCCTTCTCCAACACCACATGACATCACTAATCAGCCTTAATATCGAATTGAGCTAAGTCAAAGCAGAAGTTTTTTATTCTTACTTTTACACTTGATGATGTAATTGGAACCTACTTGCGAAGATAGCTGACGCAGCAGCAAAACGTGAAGCTTCACCTAACTTTATCTTACGGGCTGTACCTATATCGACATTTGTACGTTCAGCCCGTCACTGCGGGTGTAGGGAATCGCTCGGTAAAATACGCTTATCCTATCGCTAAAGCCTCGATGACACGGGGCGAGTTTACAAGCTACAAGCCAGCGAGTTCGTCAGCAGCTTGTAACTCGCCCCGTGTCATCGGCTTTTTTACCATCTGCTACTTGATGCTACGGGGCGATCTTACAAGTTACTAGCGAACTCGCTGGTTTGCAGCTTGTAACCTCGCCCCGTGTCACCAAGGCTTTGTTTAGTGGCGTGCTCTTAACATTTCTTCTTATTACTCACCGCATCGTTCTTCGCTTTCGCTCATAGCGACAAGGTCGTAAAGATCTTGTGACAGACCTGACTGATCACTGGAAATTCTCTCGTCTGCACAAGAAACATCACTTCGAATTGTTAATTATCGACAATTATATCCTTGCACTTTCTTATCGAATTACTTATTTATTCTATTTGGAGACATGTCTACAATTTGATAAAAATATTGTTTTATGTGACAAGGTCAACAATTAGTCTAATTGCTCACCTGATGGTAATTTGGCCGCCATAAGCGTAAAGATGCTTGCGATACCAAAGTATCACTTGCGCCGTGGTACCCTGACCACCACATTCCCTATTCCAAAGAGCCATAATAGGGCCTGATTTACCCACAGGCTAATAAGGCTTGAGCCTAGGGCGCCAGGGCCAAGGGGGCGGTCGGTGGGTGCGGCGCTGAGCTGAGACTAATATGAAAATATTATTATACTAGCGGCCACTTACGACTTCGTCCAAGTTAACTTAAGTTTTTTGAGAATCTCTCAGAAACATGACATTTTTTCGGAAAAAGAAAATTTGTTCAGTCCTTTTACGATTTAATCAAGCCCGGCCATAAAATACTCCCCAGTTAAATTTACTTCCCCTTTTCACCCCGTTACGGGTAGAGTTTCCAAGAACCCTGATTCATGTTATTCTTCATTTCAGGTCTCAAGTATAAATACTGCGTTTTTAGTTAATCGAAATGCGCGTTAAAATTCATTTATATATAAACTTGAGCACCCTTCAATCCCACCTTTAGGGGTAGATCGGGCAAACCGAAAATGGAAAACTTTATAATTTATTTAGTTAAGCATAAGTTTTAAGTCTAATAACTCAAATAATAAGATTTTTCATACAAACTTTTACCCCTTTTTTTCTCTACCGCAGGACTACCTGAGCGAAATACTCAATGTGATCTATGATGACAACGTAAAGGTGCTCGGTTATACGGCGTGGACGCTGATGGACAACTTTGAATGGAGAGCTGGCTTCTCGTAAGACCATACCCAATTTTATTTGCCTTCCTGTCAGACTCAAAGACTCATAAATTGTTCTAAGTTAACTGACCATATCCCAAAAGCACTTTTTCATAAATTGTTTTAAGCTGACTATATCCCAGAATCACTTTTCTCCTAATATCTTAGGTAAGTACCACTACTACATTTTTAAGATGTGAGTTAACATAACAAGAATAATTAAAATCTGTGCCAAATAAATGGAATCAAGCGTTCAGAATCCAAATCGTACCAGAACGGAGATTCAAATTTCGATTTTACCTTGACCGCCGTATTACAAAACGTAAAGTTAAACCTGGGCTAAACAGTTTTAGTCCAGGTTTAACTTTGCTCTACGTTTTGTAATAGTGATTGTAGCATCACTATGCTACAATCACTTTGCTTGCGAAAAAGAAGACAGAGACAACATTACTTTCCAACCAATACTAAATTTCGACCGCGGTTTGGAATAAGGCGGTTAATGTCTTTGAATCTCTGGCGCGTTTTCCAACCTATTAAAAAAACGCTAAACACAAACTAACTTTTTGTAATTTTGACAGATCTGATGCTATTTCTAGAACAACCATCGTGATTTTGCTATGCTACACAATGAAGTGCGAGCTTCATTGCCGTGCTTACACTTGAATATAATCCGTGTATCCAAAACACAATCTATCCGTTGATCTATATCCTTACATTTATACTTTTTTATATTATTAATAGAAAAATACATTTAATATACCTATACTTTGTTGCAGTGAGCGTTTTGGTTTCTACTTTGTCGACATTACACAACCAGACAGGCCTAGGACTCCGAAACTGTCTGTGGAATATTTCCGTCAGTTGCTGGCCACGCGCGAGCTGCCGCAAGACGAACGGTTTAAAGATCCTTCTGTAAGCTTCCATGTCCATATATTATCCATTTCTTAAACAATAAAACTTTTTGATTGCCTCGCCAAAGAGCCATAAGGCATCGACCACTGGTACAAAGATCCTTCTGTAAGTTTCTATATCCATCTCGATATCCATTTCCTAAACACTAAAGCTCTTTGATTGCCTTGCCAAAATGCCATAAGGCGAAATCCAAGTTAGGTTTTGTTCTCGATAGTAAATAAAAATGAACTTCACAGTTTTATATAAATTATTGCTGTCACTTTCTTTACTAGATTAATTAAATAAGTATTTAGTCTTGATTACGTATTAGAGTGTGACTGCTAATTCGGCGTTGATTTCAACAAAAACATAAGGCCGTATACAGAAAGCGCTTGTCAGCGCTGGTCCTTACCGGTAACCGGCGCAAGCATTTCTATGGACTAGCGCCGATAAGCGCCGAATGTCACCGACAAGTGCCAATAATCTTCGACACGCGCTGGTACGCTTCAATCTGCTTCCTTTATGTAACTGTTACCAGTAATGACCAGCGCCAACAAGCGCTGGTCGGCTTCCAGTTTTCTTCCTGTATATGGCGTAATACTTATGAAGAATAGACGTTTCACAACAAACCATCAAATACACACATCAAAAGTGTCTAGGGATCAACATATATTTTTGCAATAACTTTTCTCCTGATTGATATTAATTAAAATTTTCTTTAAGGATTCATCAAATAAAGTGTTTTCGTTTGTCACAGTAACGATAAACCAAGTCACCTTTGCATTAATAAAGAAATTTGCCATTTTCCTAATAAAGGGATTTTTGACATTTGAACCACTAACACAAAAGTTCGAAAAAAAGACTGAAATAACAGTTTTCTCTAAAATTTTATTGGGTAACTTAAACAATTAATAATCCGTATTTCTACCGCGAACACTAACAACACAAGAACATCGGTTTGGCATACTCAAAATGAGTTCATCCAAATCACGCTGTGGAATGGCCGCCCATGTTCGTTGCAACAACAAAAAAAGGTCTTCTTGCGACTGGATACCCTCCATATTCGGCAGAGCTCTTCTCTGTAGCATATCCCATGCATGCTCAATCGGGTTCAAGTCTGGCGACTGAGCAGGCCAGGGCAGGACATTGATGTTAGCTGCGGCGAGAGTCTGTCTTACAACTCTTGCGGTGTGCGGTCGTGCATTATCATGCATTAACTGAAATAAGGGACCGATTTGCACTTGTAGAGGAACGATGACGTCTGATACAATCGTCTCAGCATAAATTTGAGCGTTGAGGTTGCCTCTGATCCAAATCAACTCAGTTCTTCCGCCGATCCAAATACCCGCCCATACCATGATGGTTCCACCACTATAAGGATGGACTTCCTGGCAGGATTTTAATCGCTGTTGGCGTCCAGGGGTTCTCCAGTGTCGTATACGTCTTGTATCCGGTCTCATACCAAAACGAGACTCATCAGAAAAGCACACGAAACGCCATTGTTCTTCTGCCCAATTTCTGTGTTCAAGAGCCCATTGATATCGAATCCTACGATTGTGCATTGCTATAGGTGGTACCCGTAGCGGTCTTCGGGAATGAAGGTTCACTTCATGCAAGCGGTTTCTGACTGTTTGGTCGCTAATTAAGTTCCCTGAAGAGTGATGAAGCCTCACGGCTAACATCATGGCGGTTATTGTTGGAGCTCTTCGAGTTAAGATTTGAATGTATCGGTCTTGTCTCCGTGTGGTGCAGCGATACCGTCCTCCATGGCGCTCAGCCACGGTACCAGTGCTTCGGTATCGTGTCCAAAGTCGACTGATAACACTCTGACTTGTATTCAGAGCTAAAGCCACAGTACGTTGCCGGGAACCAGCTTCTATCATTCCCACGGCTCTGAGCATTTCTTCCCTGCTTAAATGACGTCGCCGCTCCATAATAACGTTGGTTTTAATCAGTAGTAGGGAAACAGTAGCACTAATAATGTCTTCAATGCGTTGTATGTTTTTATAGGGAAAATATTGACAGCTGATTTTCATATTTTACTCGAATTTGATTCACAGTTCCTGATTCAAATTATGAAATGCACCAAAAAGGATCCATATAAATTTATAAAATCATAAATTTATTACAAAGCCACATCTCAATCTCAAGAAATCCGCATAAAAATGCTTGATCCCTAGACACTTTTGATGTGTGTACTTACGGTCCAAGTGCTTTGCACATTACATTCAAAGTAGATTGCTTTAACTTATACCTAAATCTATTTGTATATAAAAACTAAATAATGTAGTTTCTTAGTTGCTTCCGTTATAAATAAGTATGTTTTAAAGAGCCTTACCACAATTTGCATAAATATCGTATAGCGATATCTAATTTTAAGAATCTCAATTGCATAACGCATGACATGGTAACACTCCCACATTTAAATTAGTGTATTTTTTGCTTACAGATGAGGCGCCTGTGAATAAGGAATGGCATGACACTTGCTTTGTAAATACTAAGCTGGCACCTAAGATCTATAGCTTAATACCAAAATGTGTGCGAAAATAAATAACTGATCGTTAATTCAAGGTTTTCTTTTTGGCAGATAACACACAACGAACTCTAAAAGAACGAGTGTGCATGTAGTTAACTAGAAGATAGTGAAATCAATTAAGATATTAAAACAAATATTTATTTCATTCATTTATGATATTGAATTATTTACAATGAAATTAAAGTTAAAATTATAATTGCTCTTGACATTTCATGAATTTCATTGTTATCATCATTATTATTACATTGATACACATAATACATACACTACAGAGAAAACTTGCATCTGCTATCAGACTGAAAAGATATGTTTGTAAATTACATAGGCTATAACTTAAGGAATAAAGTCGATTTACTTTACAATTGATACTTATATTGTTCAGAATATTATTCTTTAGTAAGCAAGCGAGGCCCGAACCGCCGCGCCCGGCCGGCAAACTGGAAGCAACATGGAATGTTTCTCAATATGTCACACAGCAACAGAATATCATGTTAAATATGCAAAATCAAAGTTACAAAATATTCGATTGCAACCACAGACCAAAATCTACTGACAAATACTATTGTCAATAGCTAGTTATATCACGCTCCACCGAACTTCACGAATACAAAAGGGAACGAAGTAATTCTTGAATAATGAACCGAACAATATGAGAAGCATCCCACTTATGGAGTACAAAAAAAATGGCATGCGAATACAATATAAAGTACAACAAATGGATCTACAGTATTATAAACCCAGCACCGTTACCATCTTAATTACAATAGTTACAGAGACTTATACATGCTATTACATAACTGAAGGTTACATTAAAGTCTTATAAGAATAAGTAATTTACTAATATGGCAAAGTTTTCTATGTAGCATTTAAGGTCTAATTTCGAATTGAAATCGTAAATCAATCAAGCAAATTGACATCATCACTCAATAAAAAATCTAAAGACTAGGTGGGCTAAAATAATAATTTTCAGAAGATTTGACGTATTGTTTTGATAAGCTGTGATATATAATTGAAACTTTTAAAATATAACTCGTTTAGCGGTAAATGTCTAGAATAACTTGGAGAATAATACATTTTGATAGCTATCTAAGTTGGCACCAAATTGGACGTCGAATCCATTTATTGCACAGGCCTACCCGCAGCCACACGAGAGTGGGCCACGACACATCCCATGATACAACTCTACTATACATTTTTAATTATAATTCATATTTTTCTACACAGGATTGACTCTTTAAAGCAATCACATACAGTCAACACAAGCCGCATACACTATGGGCGAAGTAATTATTGTCTATGCTACCACTATGTAAGCCGGCCGCACTCACACAAGCAAAACAACTCGCTCGCTTCAAACGATCACCAATACAATACTTAACTACAATAATAGTTGCCAACATAATTAACTAATTCACGATTAACGATAAAACTTAACATCTATTAATAATCTCCAAAAATACACAGGACGGTGTAAGTCGACAAACAAGTATAATAAGTTGTTTATAAAATCGTATCAAATCAATACACAATAAAAACTTTGACAATAGAAGTGTAGAAATATTTAAAAATTTATTTAAATTACAAAACACAATAAATATATTTTTAAAGGCACAATAAGGCACTGTAATGTTAAGATGTTATCACAATCTTAAGTTTACCGATAATACGATTAGTTATTTAAAAAACACATAAACGAGTCTCGGCGCACAGGCAGAGTATTACATACTGGGTGCATTACGTAATACCAATTAACGCCCCGTCATTGTATGTCTTTATTTGATGCAACGCGAAAGTCTTCAATTAGTTTATTTAGTCGTGTCAGAGTATATTATAATCTAGTTTTAATAGCGAACACAAAAGGATTTCCTATAGTCTCGAGATAAAGAATATGGGAAACCTTGGTCGAGCAATGTATCGTTGCAACACAGCTTCTTTCGGCGAGGAAAGAAGGGTTGCAAGCTGAGCCCGTGGGGCTAAGCAGTCGACCAACCAGTAATCATCCTGAACTCTAATTAAGCATAGACAACGAGGCCTGCGCAGTAGCAATTTTACACACTGAAAACGTCTATTCAAGGTTTTTTGCGTATTGTTTTATTCAAGATGTTTGCTACGCTACCTATACCTAAACGTGACTAGCGACTAGTCGCACGACGCAGTCTGCCCCGCACCCGCCTACATGCCCGGCGCCAGCGCGAGACTTTAGGGCAAAATTTTCAATCCCTGGATAAAACTGCATCTGGTACAAGTTTGGTCTACCAACCACTTTCAGAATCATTTATTTTCTAACTAATGCAACGATAAAGATAGAATAATTGATCAAATAGTACAGTATTTTTAAACAAAATTTCATGTTTTGAGAAAGAACAACAAAGTATTACCTATAGCCTATCTAAGGCACTTCAACTTTTAAATTTTCTCTAGATTCTTTTATCCCTTGCAGGTTTCCAACGCCCACAAGGGGGCGTTATCTCCCATTTTGGCAAAGACTGATTATACGAACAGTGATGAAATTATGTTAACTTTTCATTCATGTAAATTGTAATGTTGCCGGTGATATTTCTTTTTGATTGGATAATAGTTCAATCAGCAGATTCGTTTTATCCGAGAATTGAAAAAAAACCTTGATCACGGCCCTTATTTTACCGGACACTGAGCTGATTCGATATGAGTGTCTTCGCCTAACAACACATAAATAAGAAGGACAAGTACTTTTATATAAGTAATTATTGTATCGCACCAGACCAGTGTCCGGTAAAACAACGGCCGATAACAAGAGAATATTACTTATGGCCGCACACAAGAGACATCAATTTAATTTAATGATTCATTAGACCTAATGAGTGTCATATTATACTATCATTGTCGTAAAAAGGTGACAGCATGAACTTAAAAGTTAATTGACGTCACTAGGTGCGGCTGTTATACACTATTCTCTACATAACGCGAGCCATTTTCAATAATGTATTCAAATCAATGCCCTTACAAAACTAAAATAATAAGATACCTATACATTATAAAACATCCGCGATTAGTACAAAACGACAATTCAGACTCGACACCCTCAAATGAAAATTTTTAAATGTGGATGAACATCTATAGTACTTATTATCCAGAATTACTTTCCCCTATCTCATTTGGATAAATGCAGAGATTACAAAGAAAACCATCCTGGATAATAATAATAAAAACGGCTTCTGATATTCATAGAACATTTTCCACATCTCTTTTTCCTGACATTACTACGTTGCATGCACCATGTAATTTTCGTAATTTTCTTATAAATGTGAAATAAATGTACATCATGTGTTTACCGTTATGTCACTGACAGCTATGTGGTTCGAAGCGGTAAGTACACTAATTAATAATAATAGTATAAAACCTAATTTTAAAGTTTGTATATGTTATCATTGTTGAGCACGCACGAACGCGCACTAAAGGCACTGTTTACAACCAAGTCAACACGTTGTCTGGTTTGCTGGGTGTCGAATTTATCAGAGACTGCACATCGTCCAGAAGTATGTCGTTTGTAAACTCGTTCAACTGCAAAGATAATATCAAATTAAAAAATCAATTCATAAAAACAGTAAATTATTGTAAACTTGATTTAGAAAATCCACAGTTACGCCCACTTGTACCAAAGTTCTTTAACCAATTTCAAACCTAATTATTTCTCGTTGTTTGAAACCTAGTTAAATGTTACTACAGTTAATGTCACGTCAAATACGTAATAAATGTGCAAAATTTTGACAAATATTTATTTTTTCTCTAGTATCGCACGGCCTCATCGAAGAATAAATGATATGTATATATTGTATATTTAGACTTTGTATCTCTATGGCTTAATTTGATTTGAGAATGTTGGTGCAAGTGGTCTTCAATGTAAAACTAAAATATTAAATGCTATTAACATTACACAAACTATATAATTAGATAAGCAGTGTCAGTATAAGCTAGTTGACAGGTTGATCCTATTCTAATCTATCTATATAAAAATAATTTTGTCTTTGACTATCACAACATAGGCAACAAAACCCATACACGAGAAAAAAATTAAAATTCACACAGCCATAAATGAAATCCAGATAGGACCTTGGAGGTAAATTCCGAATGTCGTCGTAGTCAAACCAATATCTGCAATGTGCACTTTTTGGAGATTTCAACATTACCATCGTTATGACTAGTATACTCTAGTATACTAATTTTCGAATACAAAGACTGCTATGCAAAACTTTAGCATTGTAACGATGAACAGAGGTTGCTTAAAAAAATGCACATATCATATTTTTAATATTTAAATAGCAGTTATGCTGTGTTAAAATTGTATATTTTGCATATGGCATGTATTGGTTTGATAATGACCATAATTATTATTATATATATTTTTTAATATTATTATGCTACAGTAAATGTCGTCAAAATATTATAACCATCTCATCATCTTTGCATTACCGACTGTATTTTACGCAAATAATGCTCAGTCTCTAGTTTCATTACAATAAACAAGTTTATACAGCATTGTAATTAATATAAGTGCCATATTAATTAATACTAGTTTGTGGTGATATTTAATAACTTCAAAGATAAGGACATAATAATTTTGCTTTCAAATGTATGTTGATTCTTGGTTACATTGGATAAATTATTTTGGTTATTTTAATTTACTTTTCAAATTACTTCACCTCAACTGATTTTAAGTTTGAACTCCTTACTCAAATATTTTATTTTCGAAACAAATGAATAAAAAATAATACTTGTATTATCCTCATGCTAATGGCATAATTTTACTTCTTTCATAAACATTATAAACAGGAAAATCGAAGAAACTTTATGGTTTCGTACTTTACATTTTTTCCCATTCAAGTAGAAAAATGATTCACTCATTCTAGGTATGGGAAATTTATTAATTTGTACAGGACAAAACAAAAGCATATTTATACAAAATGTTTCCCTTTACACTCATATAATCATTAGGTAGTACCTAAGTCCACATTAGTTAAGCGATTAATAAGTTTATTACAATTACCAAAACGCTATTAATGTTACTGGAAAAACATAATAATTAGTACACTAAAACAGGCCACTTATGCATAAACATTAGTAAGCTTTTTTTGTACCTGTATTATTTATTGAATTATCCGAGCGAGCCATGAAGCAGTAAGCAAAGTTACCTGTAAGGAAGGTACCAAGTCGTCTGTAGGGTCGATGCTGTCTCCAATGGCCATGTCTGTGGAGTCGATGTTAGCGCCCGCCTCGCTGCTGCAGTCCATGCGGTCATCCATGCCCGCCAGGAAGTCGTCGGGTGTGTGCGGGATGGAGAACAGGCCGTCTCCGTCCCCCACGCGAGGTACCGCCATGCCCAGCCCGCTGTCAGCGGACTCTTGCCGCTGGTGTTCAGTCAGTCCCGATAAGAAGGGGTCGAGTGACAGCTCCGTGCTCGCCACCGCGCCTGTGCTGCTCGCCAACGACGACATTATCGACGAGGACTGCCGCGCCATCAGCTCTTGCTGAAAACACATTAAAACTGCTTTACGACCCGTTGATTGATATGTTTTTGGGTGATTTCGTGTCCCACTGACCTAACCGTCTGGCATTCGGCCAAACGCTCGCAAGGTTCGACCGAAAGGGATTCCTCCTTCGACTAGAAACTAGCGAGGCCAACCAACACAGATTTTTACATTTCTATTACCTGGAGTCTTATCTCCTGCTGGCGTTGCTTCAAGCGATCTCTTTCGAGCTGCAGCGACTGTAAGCGTATCTTCTGTTGGCAAGCTTGAAGTTGTGCGTTAGCCCAGCCTCCGCCAGCTAGACCCGCGTTTGCCGCCGGCGTGCGTTGTAAGTGTTGTGCTGTATACAATAAAAACTTATTAAGTCAAGAATGAATATGATATAATTAATACCAACGTCTGGAAATACTGAAGCCCAACTTACGTATTCTAGGGTCGAACCAAGACGTTGTTCGGGCAGCATGGTTTATAAAATAGGTTTCACCTTCTGGTGTCGTAGCCTGCTCCCAACCTTCTGGCAGCGGCCCTAGTGGATCCGTTGTCGTACTATTACTTGTCGTCTTCGCTGCTGTAATTAAGGAGAAAAAGTTCCTTGTAAGTATATTATTTGGACAAAAACTCTTGACCAATCAGCTGTCTGACTCTCCTAAATGTAATTAATTGGATAATACTTCGAGCACATTAAGATTTGTATAAGTTATTGTATACATAAACAATGAATTAATGTCTGTTTGGGAGTGAAATCCTAATATTAGTCATATAGTACACATATAACCTCTAGTTTAATAACTCGGTACACAAGATCGGAAATCAAATGGCGACCGGGAAAGTCAACAAGAGCTTTTCCACGAAAACAGGCAGCGACCGACGGACGGCGCCAACTCTTGCGCGTTGGCGCACGCAACGGCGCTGCGTGAATCACGACAGCGGATGTCGGCCGTAACGAATAGTTACTCATTCTCTCAATCGCTAATGTCACCAATAAATTAATCGGCATTGACTCTAAAGATGGGTACCTACTTAATGCAAATGACCAAATTCAAAATATCTAAAATACTACTTATCTACTCTTATCTACACCGTCCGTGCAACTTCGGCAAAAAAAGTCAAATTGAATTAAAAGTCGTAAAATTGAAAATGGAACAAGTAAAAATTCTGTGAGTGTACTAAGTAGGTACTGGTGAATTAAAATATCCTTTTATGAAAAAAAGTTAAGTAAAGAGAAGAACATAAGTCTAAATAGGTAGAGGTAATTCATTCCATGTGAAGAGAATGTAGGATTGCTTACTCACAGTGGAGCACCCGGTTCGGAAAATAATTGCCACCACTGTACAAATAATACTTGTAAAATACATATAGAGTGCTATATCGTGTAGTCAGTCAAAAGGTTTCCTGAGTTCCTAGTTCTAGGGTAGTAGATATTGTATTTTTAATACAGAGGCTGTTTTTTAAAATCATTATATTCTCAAATTTGTCGTGCCATGTCTGTCCGGCATAAAAACTGTGTAATTTAGAGTAGGATGGACGACGATATAACAAAAGTTCAGGCGCAGATGTTCATCTGCTTGCCAGAGGTAAAGCGTGACTCATAGTCCCCATAGATCACACAGGAACAATTGCGACCACAAAAACTGCATCCACTGTCCATGTTGTTTACATCTGATAACGTTCAACTGCTGAAGGTAGTTATAACAAGTTTATTTACAATATTAAAGTTTCGCGATATCTCACCACCCTGATTGACTAATAAGTCGTTAATCTACCTTATTTGGTTTATGTAATTATGTCGTAGTCGTCGGTCGGCTGTACTGTACAAGCATGATTATTAAACATTATTAGCAGCAACCATTACTCAACATCCACAGTGGCTCACAGCAAAGTTACTCAAACAACATTTGCCTACAGCTGCGCGCCGCGCCAGGTAATTTACATTAAACCCCACTTTCTTTGTCTACAATTTCAGTTATTAATAATAGTTAAAACGTTAAAATGAAGTAATTTCACAGGAATTGCAATAACTATGCGTAACCAGAAAGCAATCTCACCTCGAATGATAACATAGAAAAGAGCTATGTAAGATTACGGAAGAATGTGCTACGAAAACACAATTCATTTGTTTGTCACCTGATCTACATAGATTGTCTCAACATAAACGATAAGAGAGGATGAGGCGGCCCCGCTGGCTTTGTGGCACTTCACCATATTTTGAAACGTGACTAGAGCACGTACTGAACTATCTGTAGCCAATGATTGGCGAACTGGTGTGTGAAGACACGTGACTGGGAATCATCGATTCAGCTCTTTGGTTATTGTAATGCATTATATACGTGACGGATTTGTTGATGTTCGTGTGTAGGGAGAGCACAAAGAGCTTGCAGGAGATGCGTGATTGCAGTACATGGTTCGCGGTTATGTAGGAGCCGATCTACTCGCTGAAAGGCCTCCGGCGCCGCGCGGCTGTCCGCCACGGCCGCACCGCCGACGCCGGCAACGATGTATTTTCCGTACACCTTTCAACGCTCGTCTCACATCGACCGACGGAAACAACGCGTTAATTCCCGTCATAAAATCAGTTTTAGAATTCGGGTTATTTACTTGTTTTTATTTCAGTTCCATGATAATTTTAAACCGGCCGCTGTGGCCAATTAGATCACGTGAATACGGTTAGAAAGGAACACAAGATCTCTATATATACCTAACTACTTTATATCTTTTGGTACTACATCCAATATATCATTTTTGTATTTTATCATTTATTACTTTGCCAATTAAACACTTCTAATAGAATTTATTTATAGCACTTATTTGAATTTGAATGTATTTTGGATAAACTTGTATTTAACATGACTAATAAAACTGGAAAATCCTATGCAAGAATAACTTGTTAATTTGAACTACTATTTATGCCTAAGCTACTATCTATTACCTATACTTACCATTTACTGATAACCGATTTGACACTTTAGTATTACCCGATGATAAAATTTAAAAAGTTCATCAAAATGCAAGTAAAAAAAGTAAGTAGTAACAACTTAACCAGAGAAATTGATCAACTTTGAATCAACTTACATAAGCCCTTGTGGCTTCATTCTCTTCGGTATTAGGAGTTTCATTTCTTAAAGATACTACATTCTAGATCTTGTATAGGTATAAACGCTGTTAGTTACCTGGAGTGGCAGCAGGAGTGATGGTCGGCGCACTGGCCGGTTGCGTGAGGAGCGTTTCCGCGCTCTGGTGTTGCACCGCCGTTTGAGCCGCCAGCGTCTTGCGGGGGTCATCCCACGTCGTTGTCTTTGTTATGTGACTGTAAACAATAGAAATAAAATAAATAAATAATAAATAAATATTTCCAACACTCACACCAATTAGCCTAGCCCCAAAGTAAGCACTATAAGGCTTGTGTTATGGGATACTAGGGTAACGGATAGAATACATATACTTTACATATATAAGTATATTTATATAGAAATACATATTAAACATCCATGACTGGAGTACAAATGCTAGTGTTCATCACACGAACATCTGCCCCCACCGGGATTCGAACCCGGGACCTCTCGAGTTGGCGACACCATGAAACCCGGCGTACAGACCACTCGGCAACGGAGGTCGTCAAAATACTATTAATTTGTATACCAAAAATAAAACAACATAATTTCTTAATTTGAGTAAGTAGGTACTAAGTAATATAGCAGCATCACCTCTATTCAATCTTCTTTGTATTGCACACTGCCTTATCGAACATTATTTGATACGACGGAAAATTTCAGATTAATTATTAGGAATTTGTTTCTCATGTTTAATTTCTTATGCCACATAGAGACAATAAATTAGTGTGACATAAGAACTTATAAAAACCTTTCCTGAGAACTGATAATATCGCCTTAATACAACACCCAAGTTTGATTACGTTACGTCGATGCAAGAACGTGAATAATAATCTGGCGCTTACGTTATCACATCCCCACACTACATTCTCGGAAATTCTCTACTCCCTTGAAAGATCTTAAGGTCAGCGTCTGTACTTTTAAAGTTAACTTTCGATATATCGTGTAGCGTCATCGTCTTTCATCCTTTTTTTTACTCTAACTTACAAAGTTTTAGATGCCTTTAGAAGACACGACACGGAAAGATCACGATATATCGGTTATCGATTTTATGAGAAGATTACGCACAACCCTGTATTTAAAGTGTTAATCGAGCGGAAATGAATACCAATAACATCAAGTACTTACGAGTAGGTACTATGCCCATAATCAGATGTACCTACTTACAGCGCAGTAGGAAATGTCACAGTACTAGATTATTGTATGGGAAATAAACTTGGGCAAAAGGAGGTTCACGCTCGGCCAGTGCAAATCGAATAATCGCAGACGGAAAGATAAGAAAGTGTTGTATTCGAAAGTGGGCTGGCAGATCGGTTAATACTTTCAAACCAAGGCGGATCGATTTGCGCGGAGCGGTAATGAACTTGATTATCAGCTGTTGTTATGGCACTGGACGCCACCGCTTCTATTCGGCACCTGCTCATATGCTTATCGTCTAATTCATTAACTACTTCCTTTCACGACTTAACCTTTAAACAGGCAGCTGGCTTGTAATTTTAGACCACCAACGTACTGCGTAGTAGTAGGTAGGTACTACTTACTATTGTTGTATTTTTTGCTGCTCATTGAAATCGGTGGGCTGGGTTCATGTCGAGTCTGCTTATTAGGAAAACAATATGACTGGATACGTAGTTATGTAATATATTCCGCAAGGTGCATTAGTCGATGGGTCTATGTAGCCTAGGGTCTCCAACTTTTTTTCTATCAAATATAGTATTTTCAAAGCGGTTACCTCTAAAACTATAGCAGAGTGCAAAAATGGGAAAAATATATTAAGTGGTTAATTTTTGAAATGAATCTATTTTGCTGCTCTGTGCCTTAATAATATATTTTTTAAGAAAGCTTTTACTGGCAAATATCTGCTTTAAGCAAAATATAGTAGTTTCGACTACTATATATATATATACACACATATATTTTCTAAATATAGTATTTGAGCCCCTGGTATAGTAGGATACTATATTATATAGTAGGGTTGGCAACCCTAATGTAGACGGTTTGTAATACAACATGAAGACAATTATGTTAAAAAAATATAGTGATTGCGATGGTATAATTAGTTACTTATAATACCTTAAGATGTGACTATGTAAGGCATAGAAGTAGGTAATTAATAAGCGAAACGTAAAGGGTAAGTTACGTCTCACATCTAATTACACTGAGGAATTAAAAGTCATTTGGGTGATGGAGGAAAACCACACACTGCGCAACTAGACCAAAATATTCTTTGTTTATTTATAGGGTGTCAAATGTGCTTATTTTATCCGAAATCCAAATCAAGTACTAATGGCTCAAAGAAAAGCAAAGTCATGGTCACGGATTGTAGACAGACACGTGGCAAGTTTTAAGTGCCATTAGGTCATGTTTGTAATACGTCCATAGCATTCCAGGGATTGTGGCTTTTTGATTTAATTAGGTGGTACAAAACTAAACAGACTGATCTGCAGAAGGAAATTTAAACTGATCATCAGACAGAAGCAACAAATGTTGGTTGCTATTGCTAATAACAAAGAGGAAGACAAACATGGTTTCGGATATAAGATTCTTACTCTGCCAACCGCGTGAGGAATACATGGCGTGAATGTATGTTACGTATACGGTTAGTTTTGGTTTAGCATAAGAAAAACGGCATGTACCAGCTGCTATCTTCATCGTCGAATCCGGAAAAACTCGAAAACTATAGGTTAAATAAAATAATATTGCGATTGTATGAAACTTGAATACAAGTAATGACAAATGTTCGTCGAGATATAGTCTGGTGATTGTTATCTCATCCTGCAGTATCTTTAATTTATACCACTTCGTACGCGGGGTTACATTTCAACAACAACCAACCTGCGCCACGCCATAGCGCGAAGCTATTTACGTAGTTGGCACGTTTGGATTTTAATAATGCAATTTTAATTACACGTCGGGCTTTGCAAATGTGACTAAAGTCATGTACTTGCTACGTAGCAAGTTGCGAATGTTGCATGGGGGGAGGGTCAGTGTTCAATTACTGGACTTGGAGAGGGGGGTCGCGACGCGGTGAGTCGAGTTGCATAACAACGGCCGGGCGTAACGCTTCGATTAACGTGATAAGCGATAGTGGATTCTGCGAGCCGACTATAGCGGGAATGGAAAAACATATTTAAAAATCATTTTAAAGGTGAACTAGTAGCTACCAAATATTATGCATGGCGAGAAATGCTGAGACATTCATATAGCCCGTTCAAATAATTTTTGGTGTTTCAAACAAATATTTCGAATCCTTGTCAGGCACCGAATTGTATAACTTTTTGCTTTTCGCCATATCTTTCATTTCATAGTTAGGCAAGAGATATTGGCACTTTTTATTTTTGTAGAACACGATAAAGAAATTAGACAATAAGCTCCTATGGCGAAATTATAAACTCTGTCTGTTCCTCAGACAGCAGCTCTCAACAAGCTTACATACATCTTATCAATTATTGTTTAGTCTTAACATTTTTGGGCTAGGAGAGGTGTATTTATTAAAGAGATACCTAAAACTATACATAAGTATTTAAATCTTAAACATGTCTTATGGTGGTATAGCATTTTTTAGTATTCCGACCCCGCTTGAATGTACGTAATTACTCCACGTTTCCAACGCCTGCCACAACGCCATAAGCTAAGTCATTTATGCGCTTACGCTCACGCATGTAGCATCACCCATAACACTCATAATGCACATCTTACGGCCGCGCATCATGTTTGTACACAAGCGCGCATTATTTACTCTCACCCCGCGAGGTGCCGTGAGCGAAACACGTAATCGTTCGTTCTCAGAAACTAACATCCAAATTGGCAACAAGATGAACACCTGGGACATCATTAGTCATAATAAAGTCATGTGCGAATAAGAGAACTGCACTAAACGCACAATCCGCAAATTAACTGTATTGTTACTGTCTCAAGCACAAGTGTGACAGCAGCCGGTTTAGTGGCCGATCAAAAGAACTGGTTGGGATTTTACAAAATAGCTGACAGTACACCTGAGTACGTAATCTTTTTAAGGAAACTATTAAACAAGATAAGACATACTTAAGTTACTCAAAAAAGGATATACTTATCAAAAGTAAGATAGACAGCAACAGAGTATTTTTTTGGGAAAGTTAGTCAAATGTCAATAAAAAAGTCGAATCAGTCTTCAACAGACACATAAAGAGGACCTATTTTACAAAAACATTTATAAAATAATATCTAACAAGTTAAGTGTAGTTCCTTCTTTGATAATGACTTAACTATCAAAAAGCAGGTTATCAACTCGTTTATCTTCTAAAATGGCCACACGTGGTTCATAATATTTTTACCTAGTATAGATAAAATCTATTTAATCACTAATAAATCAATCAATAAAAATAACGTCATAAACACGTCATTCAACACCATAAACATCCACGCGTACTGGTACGTATATATTCCAGGGTTTTTCATGATGATCTTTTGTTATACAAGGATATACACCCGCACATCCAAGGAGAAATATCATGATATAAAATTATGATATTTATCTTTGAGTACGTATGGGTTCATAGATACATATATCAATGATACACCTCCATTGTTAATCGTACAATTGCTCATACAAAAACTTCTTACAAACTCGTATATTGATACGAATAACTATTTTTACACCAACGTTTTAGGATAACTGACTGAACTTCGAACAGTCAGCCAGATTGGTTTATATAGTGATAAATATATAAAAAATGTATCATTATCAGCCTATTAATGTCCCCACGGCTGGGACACAGGTATTCTCTATGGATGAATAGAATAGAGAGTTTGGGCCGTGACCCACCACGCGGGCCCAGTGCGAATTGGTGGGTGCTAACGACTGCAGATGCATCTGGGACCAACGGCTTAACGTGCCTTCCGAAGCACGGAGGAGCTCGAGATAGTACATTTTTGGTCACCCATCCAATGACCGACCACTGCGAAAGTTGCATAACTTCAACGGATCGCAGCCGAACGCATTAACCACTTGCGCCATTGAGCTCCTCTCAAAAATGTATACACAGTGATATTTAATTCATTATAAATATTTGATTTTTTTATTTAATTCCATTACAATTTAAACTATTAGTATCAAATACATCAACTCTACAAATTTTATTTACAAATTGATAGATAAATATTGGATATTTTGATATTTATTATAATTATCGGATATTCTCGAACCGTAATATAGTCATATGATAATCAAAATAATATGCACAATTTCACAATAAACGCAAGTATCACCTATCAAATTTCCATCGCACGACAGATTTACATAAATAAATTAAGTGAGTGACGTAGGCGCCTGCAACTAAAGGCGACCGTTAATAAAAGGGAGTAATTTATTTCAATAACACAACTGGACCCGTATACGTAAACACGACATAAGCTGATATACCTCGCGAAATTAGAATTTAAATAGGTCGAACAGAACAATAGTACGATGACTACAAGCGTTTAAGAAACGGAGAACCATTTCTCTACCGCGTGAAGGCCTTCTACTCTTACACAACGTGCTTTCGCACGAGCCAGGCGACCCACAGTCAGATGAAAAGGGCCTTCAGTGCGACACGTTATGGTTCTAGCAAACTTTTCAACGCCCGATACAAAACGAGGTCAACTTTATGACAAGCCTTTGTTTTATATCACCACTGAATTAATATAATAATATATACTTTAATAAATAATATGCACACTGATTTGTTGACAACGCAACTAATTACGACGGACTGTTAACAAATGAGCCGGTGTTATTTTAATTCGTAAACGGTTCAAAATGCAGCTTTCCTCTATTCGACGACGGCAGCAGTTCAAAATCGCATAAACCCATACCACAACAAAATAATACTCGTAAAATAAATCTCGGGCACAATATGACGAATTCAGTGAAATGCCTCGTGTTTCAATTAAACGGAAAATAAAGTTGGCACCGTGTCCGTCGACGTAACATAAACATTAAAATAACTATGATGGTTGAGTAGCAACACCCGAGTCTCATTCAGCTGCCAATACATTACATATCCACGCTACTTACTCTACCTTTTTAAGTCGACTGTGTTTATTTGTATAATGGCTTATGACGGTTTTAAGAACTGCCGATGTGATCCGGACAATTTATTTCCAAAATGATTACACTCAGACTCGCTGTCAACTTTCAGTAATAATTACTCTCTTGAAGTTACTGTTGTAGCCACAGGTGCAGAACAGTAGTTACTTTTCGTCGGACAGTTCTCCTTATTTTTTTATTAGTTAATTTAGTTTATTACAGATTTTTGCAGCCCAGTATTTCCAACGTCAGCAGGTAGATCACAATCATTAATTTCTACAACTTCTTACAAAATGCATACCTACTAAAAAACAATTCTTATTATCATTTTTTTGGAATAGTCGTTTCCCTGCAAATAAAAAGAAACCTCGATTTATAAATTACTATGCCCTGGAGTGAAATAGCCAATTATTTATTACTCTATTCCGGTGTTCTCGGTTAGAAACCAAAGTCGGCCGGTAGTAGCCTCGTAATCTACATTGCGTGTTTGATGTGCTAAGATAAACAAGTCAATTAGCTAGTCATATCGATCATTGCGCGCCTCAAGTGTATCCAAAGATGGTGCTGGCGGCACCGACCGGACGCGCGTCATGTGGACGCACATCCTCCAAGCCGTAATTTCCCCGCTTTTACAGCAGAGAGAACAGCAGACAAGCAACACAATGAACAAATGGAACCTAAATTGAATTGCTCCATTTACTTGGAGAGATTGGTTACGTAATCAATAATACTGGTGATACTAGACAAGCGAAGAATATACTTTAGCTGCAATGTATTTTGATACATTGTAGCAAAGGTTTAGTCTTTGCTAGGTTAGCAGCACACTAATGATGTAGATATTTAGTATATGTCACGACAAGCCCATAATCTTATATATAAAATTCTCATGTCGCAATGTTGGAAACCATACTCCTACGAAACGGCTTGACCGATTTTTATGAAATTTTATAGCCATATTCTGTAGGTCCGAGAATCGGCTACTATCTATTTTTCTTAAAAATACATACAACCCTAAATTTTCACATTTCTACCACCCCTCTTTTTATGGCGGTACGAAGTTCGCTGGGTCAGCTAGTCATCAATATTGATCAAATTTGATTGATTTTCATCTCAACTTAGCGACAGGTTTAGGTAGGAACGATACTTATGAATGTTTGATAAAGATAGCATGGTGCAGCCTAGCCAATCCATCCAAATCTGTATACATGGTGAATACTTATTGGCCATAAATGGATTTTAAAAAAATGACAAAGGGTTGCAAATGCTTAACGCATTCGCTACATTTCCAACCTGGATTAGGAGCGAAAAAGTCCTTGCATGCCACTTGCTCCAGAACCCTTCTTTCGCATAGGAAAATCTATCAACGGACAAAGTATACTTGGAGAAACTATTGCAGGACATGACCTGGCATATGTTACTATTGTTTTCGAACTATGTACAACTTACCCAAACCGAACCAATGTCAAATGCGGTAACTGTTTACCCCATATCGAATAAAACGTGCCATTTACACACGCTGATCCCATATTACATTGTTTAAATAAAATTCACAGGCCCGATGAAACAGAGATCTTTGTGCCTTTGAAAAAAATCATATCTATCGACTTTTCTATTCATTTTTTCTTATTAATAGAACGAGCTCACAATCTTTATCATAACAACTTAACCCACCCATTGATAAGAAACCAGTCGTTATAACGCTTATCTAGAATGTCCAGACTATTGAATTATCTCAAAAGCAGGTAAGTACAATGTATATCTCGAAGCGAAGCACAAGTCCGACACATGATGATAACAAAAATATCCGTAGCGTACACACGCACAATTCTAAGTAAGCATCAGTAGTAAGTAAAGTTATTGTGTTTGCTTTTGCATCACATTATTAGACCATTTTTTAGTCTGGTTAATGTTTATCGCTTCACCAAATGTTATGTGATTGAATTCTAGATACAATGATAGCGGTACAATGAAAATGAGTTAATGTGCTTTCAGCGTCAGCCATCCTCAGTGGTCTAAAGTTCTAATCCTATCCCAAATAATAATAAATAGTTACGCAGTTAGGAGCCTATTCTTTAAACCTTTCTCATCCTCATTCCGACCTTCCGTTAACCTTTTTTTGTTCCATTGCTAGGGCCGGTATTTCTAGTTAAGCAGCCATTACAAACCTCCACACCCAGTTTAGATTGAAAATTGCTTGATATCTTCCTAACCGTACCATCCGTAGTTCGAAATAATTTAGGTCACCCATCAAGTGACCGGCTTTTACGAAAAGTTCAACTTCAGCAATCGCAAGTCGGCTTTCCATCTCCTTCAAACACAATCATCTTATTTAAGTACATATATCTAAGGCTAACTGATAGGTGGTGCCAACATAAACAGTCCCGTTAACTAAAGTGTGCCACAACGTCGTCGTTGTGCGGCTATACATACTTTACAAGGTGCAGAGTTGCTGATTTGTTTACTTGCTTTTAGTTATAATTTTATTTTTTAAGCATGTAACTGCTTGATGTATTAATCTAAAAAAAATATATCTAGAAAAAAATCCACGCGGAACAGGCAGCAGACGGGACTCGAACCCGCACCCTTCGCTATACGGGCGAACTACTAATTATAACTAATTATGCTACCGCGGCCCTGACGCTTTTAGTTATTTATTTCGTAATAATAATAAAAAAAACAGCGAATTGTGTACGTTTGACGCGTATGAAACGATGATCGCTAGCGAGTACTATTGTACCTAGTCCATAACAATCTCTCGTATAACTGATCCAATTTTGGCCGTGATTCATTCATTCACAACGTGCATGATGCACGCTTGGTGTTTGTGTACCTCTTTAGTTCGTCCACAGTCGTAGTACAGTCACGTGTAATGTAGCCTCTTACGATCAAAGTACCGAAGGTGAACTTATAATTTTATCTGATATCTTTATTATAGCTACGGTACAAATTATAGAACAATAAATAGAAAGAAAGAAAGATATCCTTCTATATTGAACTGATTTTACATGGTAATGAAAAGAACATTCTGTTGCGAAAATAAAGTTTAAGAGAGGTGAAATACAATAAATAATAAAAAAATTGAAAAATTTATCTTCTATTTAATCTTTCTGGCTGCACATCGCATTTTCTTCTTAACTTTCCTGTTAAAAGTAGAAATGCAAAAGAGTTCTTCATTAAGATTTACGAATTTGGAAAATCTTGGTACAAATAAATTTTTATTAGAACATGTACCACATATTTCACACGTGACTGTGGGAGATTTGTAGAATTACATTCGTATGGCTTACCGTTTTCAAATCAAACATTAATTAAAAGCTTTACATCTTAAAATCATGTATTGCGTATTGAAAATTACACCCGTTTGATAATTTTGCCAATTAAAATAACTTGATGTAACTGCCAAAGCAAATAGAAGAACTTAAAACAATTAAGTATACAATAATTATAAAAAATTAGTATGGTGAACACCACTTCATTGCAGCATTACTGCAAGACGGAAAAAAATATCAAATAAAATTATAGATTCCGGCATTTGACGACCTCCGCGGCCGAGTGGTTTGTACGCCGGGTTTCATGGTGTCGCCTACTCGAGAGGTCCAGGTTCGAATCCTGTTGGGGGGCAGATGTTTGTGTGATGAATACGAGCATTTGTACTCCAGTCTTGAATGTTTAATATGTATTTCTTTATAAATATATATTATTATGTACAGTATATGTATTCTATCCGTTACCGTAGTATCCCAGAACACAAGCATTACAATGCTTACTTTGGGGCTAGGCTAATTGGTGAGTGTTAGAAATATTTATTTTTTATTTATATTTTCTTTATTAAGAATGACACATACACATTTTCTGTAGTAGGTAATTTTTAATCACTGCTTTTAGCAGAAGTAAAAAATATTACCAATTGCAGACAAAAGCAGATACCTGTGAACAATAGTGCAAAGTTGTATCATGCTATATTCTTTGTAACTCTTTCAAGAAATTGATAATCATCAGGCAAGGACTGGATTAGAGGAGGCCTAAGGTTTATGGAAATACATAAGATTGTTTTTGGTAAGCATCTACCTAATTAAACAAATAATATAGAAAATTTCTCGGAAATCATACAGTTAATATCTCTCTGTGACACATCCACGGCTTCCAAACGATGGATCGTAGGTTTTTCACCGAGAACAACATGGCGGAGACGGGCATTCTAAATTTAAATCTCGGACGAGTCGGCGCTCGCGTACGTAAATAAACGCACACAGTAATAATCAGTAACACTATACAGCAACATGTTAACTATATCAGCAATATTCAAGATGTGATAAAACATCAAAGTAGTTTAATTTCATTTTATCAATTATAAACTGAACTTATTGCAATTTAGGTTTACCAGCAATGATATTGGAACGTAAAGTCATAATATTGTGCAGTGTTTCGGCGGTCCACACGCTCACGCGCATTTACCCACACAAACATAAACGGACGAAAACGTAAGTGTGACGCATCGACTTCCGGCTGGTAATTTTATTATTGGGATCTACCGTTTCAGCTAGCATGTTCGTTTTTCCTTAGCTGTTCTTCTAATTATTTATTATCATTAATAATGACATTTATAATGGCCTGTCAATAGGAAGAAAGGCTATAATTTCATCAACATATACTGCTTCTTCAAATAAATACAAAATGTAATCATGTATTATTGTTTCATCTATCACAGCCGTAGATTGTATTTATTTTATTGCTGCTGATTTTGTCCTAAAATATATTATTATGCTTTCCAGAGGATTTTTGCATTGATGGGATTTTTAAATATTCTATCAATAATTTAGATTTTTGTTTTCTTGCAAAATTCGGTACAATATTACTAGATATGCATTTTTATAGTTTTTGGCAATATTGTATATTTTTATTATTGTATTTCAGTTTGTTCAAAACAAAACGATTGACAGAAACGGCGCCAGAGCTTGCGGCCACGCCGCTACGGCAACCGATTGATTTATTTACCGCGCAACTTCAAAAGCTGAGATGGCGCCATGTTTCTACCATCCAAACTTTTAATATATCTTTGTGGCATTTGAGTGAATTGAAACAAAAACATTAAAGAAGCGTTCGCATTACCTAAAAGTTGTTTTATAAACAGTCTATCTAACGTACACAATATGCGACGAAATTAAAAAGAAACAAAACTACGTCGCGGCCGCGCCGTGCCGTCTTTACATTATCTGTAGGATACAGCTACAGCTAAGCAGGCAGGAGCAGGAGTATCTACGTCTATTCGGATAGGTAATAAATAAATAAAGTCGTATGTTGTCGGTCGGTGGCTCGCTCGGTGCGTACGCACTCACGCACAAGTCTGCGCGAACGCAGCGGCCGGACGGGCGGGCGCAGGACTAGTCGGCCTTGCGCGGCAGCTCACCTCTCGCCGCCGCGCCGCGCCGCCACCCAGAGGTTAACTACGTGTTTATTCATCTAGCTTTAGAAAGTAACAACTCAATAGATCTCTTACTTACTATATTTGTCTGCTTCTTACTATTGATATTTATGAAAATCAATATAAATAAAGTATCTATGAACTCTTATCTCAACGATATTATACAGCAGACACGAAACAATATTAATATGCATTCCCATCCTATTTGAAACAAATGAAACCTGTAAAAATTTCTTAATTCACATCTCGCAATCGGGAAGAGAACCTCCTTGAACCAAACTTAATAACAATAGTGGCTTTATGCTGTGTGGGATTATTGATTACAGTGGTTGTAGTTGTACATTATGAAATGCTATCTAGTAAGATAATGAATATGCAATGCGCATTCATGACACGAATTGTATTAATATTTGATATAATTCTTTTGATGATATTGACAAGCCTATTGTGACTTGAAAGTTAATTCAGGGTGTATCTTACGTGGTAGCTTAGGCTTAACTTACTTTAAAATTTTATGACACATAATGTATTTTAATTTAAATTGAATAATTTCTTGGCTGTATTGTATTTATTCAATTAATGGAATTTGCTAATCGTTTCTTTTTCAGAGAAATGGTTGTCATGACTATTAAAATTACAGAAATTTAAAAAACTTAAAGGGTTTTGGTATTACATATTAGTTAAATTTAAATTCCTTCTGAGATATACCCACAGGTTTAGCTAATCTGATGTATTACAAATAACCAAAATACGATAACAAAATCTGAAGCCAAATTAAACGAACACCTAACGTGTGTTAATTTTAGAAGTCGTTATAAAGTTATTTCTAAAAGACTCGTAATATATTTCGCAAAAGTGCTCGTAAACGTCACTTTTAGAAACGTGTAAAGGGAATCTGTGTAGCAAACTGCGTCAATCACATTCACATTTCATATGCCGGAAAGACGTTCCTAAATAGCATTACAAAAAATGTTATTGTTCTAAAACATAAACATGGCATGGCTTACTCTCACGTTGATAATTTAATAAAAGATTCACAAATTAGTTAAAACGTTCCAACGAATACGATAGCATCCCAACTGACACTGCACAGATTCATCAATACTCATGATTCAATAGTTATTATCAAAATTAACCTGTACTTACTAAATTTGCTCCATATAAAGTATACCTACCGCCCATAAAATTACCCCGAATGCTAAATCCGGCCGCCCTAAACCACCGTGCAGCTACTAATAAGACTCGAGCTGTATTGTGCAGTTATTAAACGGCACTGACTCACTAGTCATGTGGTAGTACTGTTGCCCTATAATTAGACGTTAATCAGCGAAAAAGGCAGAACAGCGAGCATGTGTCCGGCGCCAGCGGAAGCCGGCTTGGCACGAATAATTCACTGTGCGTTACGTGCTGTGTCCATTCATATGGTAGGTAATGCTACCGTGACCAAGCTGGCATAACAAGCGGATATAGTCAATATGATATTGATAATAAAAACAAAATTTAAAAACTCCTTAAAGGCCTTTTTTTTAATAAGATCCTGCTTCTACGTCAAAAAACTTGCTAAAAGGTGTAAATGTTCATTGTAATTAACTACAAAGCGCCCTTTAAAAACTAAATCAAATGAAATTTTCTGGTGCAAACAAGAAATCCTAGGTCCGTGGATGCAGCGATCAAATCCATATTAAACGATTACATTAGCTTCCGACAAAGCTTAAAACCAATTCAAAACTTTGGTTACCGTCGGACGGGACGGTCAGATTAGACCCTCAATTTTCAAACTGTATGAATGTATCGAACCTTTTCTTAATAAAACCATCTCAATTTGGATTCTACTAACCGGGAATTTAAGATAGATTATTAAATTTTATATTTCAATGGTGGATAAACGTCTCCCGCGTAGCGTTAGATAAAATTACCGATAGAGTTTAATTAAAATAAGTACAAAGTATAGTACCTGCCAGTTTAATAAGACATTTTTTGTTATTAGTCTTGAGTATTCTCTTTGTCAATACAACTGAATAGTTCACTACTGAAGAAGAAAAGGAGATGGCAACCAATTCGGCGTTTAGAGCGGCCGAGGCGTGGACGGATGGACGCCATACGCAGGAAGCTCTAATAGCGGCCGCATTACCGGAACTGGTAGTCGCCAGGAACTGAACAGTTAATGCTGCGGACACCCTTCCACAGATGTTCATCGCGCTAATTTGCGCCGGGCCGCAAGCACGCTTCGGGCAAGGATTGCATCGCATTAACTTTTATTTAGTACCGCGTCGACATCTATATCTACGTATATTACAATTAAGAGTATATTATAAAGCTGAAGAGTTCGTTTGTATATTTGGTTGAACTTGCAAGTCTCATGAACTACGGGTACGAATGAAAAATATATTTGTGTGTTGCATAGGTCACTTATCAAGGAAAGCTTAAAGGCGACATCACACAACATCACGGTACGAATAATAGAAGCGGAGCGTATAATATGAATAATGTAGCAAAGTTTTCAGAGCTTCCGTGACGTTCTTTGCCTATAGTGATGAAATAATGGTATGCACTTGAAAGAACGATATACCTTCGGAACTACTAAGAATAGGGTAGGTATATTTCTTCTGGTTACTGGATGTAGCCATAGTGTAAGTTTTTAACATTTACCGCTGTATCAACAAATTTGATTCTTTTTATAACGCTTTTTGAATCTAAAAAGTGCATATTACCTGCTCCGTTAAATTTGAGAGAATACTATTTATTATGCCTGCTTACATAGACGAGTTAATGTTGGCATCAACAACCCAAAGGCTCTAGCTAGACAGTCCTTAAGAAACTTAAAGCGGCCACGGACTTTGGTCTCGGTTGTTTTACGTACGTCCCGTTCCCTCTCAGCCATCAATGTGTCCTGCTTGCACTCAGCGATCTTCCCTCCCGCACCTCACATACCGCAACATCATTATCTTGCCTCGATTCGTATCGGTGCACTTTTTGCCGTCATCAGGATAACTCTACTCTCCTGCCTGCCTGAGTAATAAAAATCCAGTGTATCAATTCGACACGAACGGATATTGCTTACTCAAAATAAAAAAAGTTCAAAATTATTCGTATCCGTGTGTCCTTATTATAATTATGAATAAATTTGTAGTTATTTAAATCGTACGACTGCAGGTTTTGGAATTAGCTAAAAATTTGCGTGGCACATCAAGAGACGGAATGACAATCCATTTCCCACACGCGAGGTTGTGGCAAGTGGTATAGCGGGTGGCCCGCAGGCACAGCTTATACCTGCCGTGCCAACTAAATGACTTAGCGGCCCTTGAACCCCTCGCGCACCTACATTATTGTCGTTCAACCCATCAGGTAAATATTCAACAAAAACTGCTTTGATATCTTGTGTTGCCATTTTATTAAAAACTAGTTCGGTTTAGTAGGTTCTAAATAAACCGTTTTGCATTTATAGGTAGGTACGTCAAATGAACCCGCTAAACCAGTTTATCTCAAAGCTTTCTTAGTCTTAGTTTAAGGAAGTAGTGTTTGTTTGTTCGACAAGTCGATTGTGTTGGAACATTACTCGAGCCTCAAAACAGGGAGATGTTAAATCAAATGTTATATCTAGGACAAATCTAAGACAGTCGCAAGCGCAATAGATGGTTGCGAAAGACCATAACCAAGTTGGAGGGGCGCAAACGAGCACCCCGCCTGTGAGATATAAAATGTCAGTTGCGATTTACATAATAATCGTCCCAGCTTCGATTGTTTTATAATTTCAAGGTTGTTATTTAAAACTGAAAGGAGTACTAGTGCTATATGTTCCAATAAGTTACGTAAGATGCTTTCGTTTACAAATAACATATATAACTATGTTTTTAGTAATTATGTAAGAAGAATTACTGCTTTGGTAGCAAACCTTACATATATACATACATACATAGCTCCAAGAGGCACCTTGAACTTCTTGATAGTGCTAATAATTTACTGTATGATAAATATAAAGCGTGTTTTGTTGTTAAATGTCACAACTGATTGTTACTTTCTACCTATAACTCTATCAATTTTATATGTGTCACAATTTAAATCTTTGGTATTACCAGCTTTGTGCAACACTGGAACTACAATTTTTGAGGTAATGACATCCTCGTTTTAAAAATTCAAAACATTGTAAATGTTATTAGATTTTTTTTCTAACTGATACCAATTTTCCTACTTTTAAATCTAGACATTATATACTTTTATTCAAAATTCATGCCCCTATCCGTTGATTTGTTTATTTTTTTTTTATTTTCCTTAAATCTTCCGTAGCTGACGTCTCTTTTCTTTACAGGGAAAGTAACTTTCGAGATATAGTGATTATTTAGTGAATAAATGATGGGCCGTAATATAGCAAATATACTATTATCTTAATATAGATTTAGTATTTAGGGTAACACTGCTTAGTTTGCAAATGCAAAACAAGAATTACTTTAACTAATTCATTGTCTATTTCACCAAAGCTAAATACAAAATAAGTCAATAGATCTTAAGACGATATTACATATTTATTAAAATATGCTATAATAATTTTAAAACAAATAATTTATTAATTCCGTCACGCGATTGAAAAAGAATAAATAGTATTAGACTTGTGAAAAATATCTTGGCTTGAGGATGGACAGTTGCCTATCATAGTGTAAACAAATTGACTATATTAAAAATAAACTCTCTTCACTGATTGGTTCCCTTCGCAAAAAAGTCAATGTATCCCAAGAAAATTACGTTACACCATTTATAACTCTCTTATCAAATCCCAGTTATTGTATCTTATTTAAATCTGGGGTAGTGTCACTAAGACAAGGCTACAAGAGGTACAAATAATGCAAAATAAAATAATAAAAACACTCTTTGGTTATCCATTTCTAACACCAACGGATAAAATATTTAAAAAAATCAACATAATGAATATTAAGCAGCTATACGTATATAATACTAGTCTCATGGTTAGAAAAAATAATGATAAAACAATCCATACTACCTGGGATTACCACGTTTTCTTTCATTAAAAAATTGCAAATAAAACGCAGTCTTCGAAGTCCAAGATTATTTGGTCTTACCAAAGGTATCATGCCAAAAAAAGTATCACCTTTGAGTTGGGTTACCAGATGATAAAATCAAAAGTCCGGAGAAAAGGATTGATTTCCATTGAAAAATCCTGAGATTTTTTACAGTTTGAGAATTTTCTCTCAAACGTACTTAACAATTTAAAAAAGTCGTAATATTATCGTTTATACTCTGCTTATACTTTTAAATCAATATAATTTGAAGACCTTAACATGTGGGGCATTATATGAATCCATAATTAAAGAAAAAAACCTTACTTAAAAATGTATCTTCACATATTAAGTATGTTAAAACTGATTAAGTTAAGATTAACTTGCATAATAAAGTACTGATTTCAATTGTGCAATTATTTTTAGTTTGTTTAACTTTTTATTAAAGAGATCTTTAAAACGTAAGATATATTTTATTGGAAATTAAAAAAAAACTGAGATTTCATGAGATTTGCAAAATCCAGCCGCAATCCTGAGAAGTGTCTAAAAATCCTGAAATCTCAGGACAAATCCTGAGCATATCTCAGTAACCCTACCTTTGAGGGAGCACAGCTTTACAACAGTTTGCCTTCATACATACAAGATGTCAACTTATTCACCTGTTTTAAATCTAAACTGCTTAGTTATATTAAGGAAAATATTTCACTTTTTACGTAACATTTCATTCTGTTATTTTTTTTTTCCTTAATTTTGCGTGATTCGGTGACGATATTACCCTATGATCATTTTATTTTTAATGTCTTTTTTGAAAATAAATTATATAAAACCCATATTATTGTCGCTAGTGACTGTTCAATCACAAAACCACAAGACAACAACAGATAGTGCACACGCACAACATATCTAATTTGTAATGTGAAGGTGATTACCGCGTTTTTTTCAGAAAACTCACTTCCATAAGTCACTGGGATAGCAACACTCATTCACACAAGTCATTTGAATATACGCAGTCAATAAAAATACAAATTTAATAAACAATTATGATCAATCAATAAAAAATATAACACATTATCAAAATATTCCCGACTAGATATCCTCATAGATCAGAAAACGATAATTCATCACGTTGTCTTTATAATATTGCATTTATCCTCCTCGATTCTCGACAGACAAAGTGTTTCAGAGAGGTAGATACTGGAGAAGCAGCCTATCTCGGAGTACAGAATGATCGATGCTGGTTCCGAGAAATGCGGCGAGTTGCTCAAAGGCCCGGGCGGAGTCGAGAGAAAAAATCAATTCCTTTGTTACTAACAACTCAGGTGTACAAAAATAAACGAAAAAGAGCAAAACGTGAACGGGCGGTGTATAAGGAGGCGCGCCGCTTGCCGCGCCGGGACACAGTTTATCGATAAAGTTAAATTTTAACAACATATCGACTTTGACACTCTGGTTAAATGGTAGGTAACCACATGATTACAATGGTAGGTTACCACCACAGGATTAAGAACGCGCTACCTTTATAGTACCTGATTAATTAACCTGGTTGGTATTTTAAACGTTGTGTTATTTTTTCTTTTAGCTAAATTTTTGAAGAAGTAATTTATTGTGATTTAAATTCTTAGGCTGTGTCCCCAGTAAGCAAACTGTCAGCGGCCGACTGAGTGAGCCGCAAATTTGCAGCGAACTGAAATTTGAGTTAGCTGCAGACTCAAATCAATTTTCGTGCGTCGCAAGCAAACTGTTAAGAGTTAGCCGCTTATTTAGCCGACCGACTTAATTATCACTTTACTTTTGTTGTACGAAGGGAGTGGTTGTGTTGGTCACGATGGATATTTTTGAAGTAATTGGTATCTTAGAAGCGCTGAAAGAGGATAAAAGGAAGCACTGGGTTCACCCATTATACAAGAAAAGGTTGAGCATTGGACAATTTCACACTCTTTATCCAGAACTAAGGAAACATCCAGAAAAATTTTACGACTATTTCAATATGACTTCTCATACATTTGATGAATTGTTGAAATCTATAACCCAGTACATAGCTAAAAATAATATCACAAGAGATACATTATGTCCCGAAGAACGGCTTACTATAACTTTGAGGTAAGTAAATAATTAACGCTTTAGGATTTTAAAAAAATATGTTATTTTTATTGTAATACAAAGTCACTTTCGCATTTATAGTTTTT